GGCCCACCTGGCTCAGGGCCCACATTCCTGGCTCCTGCTCTGGAGACCAAGAGCTCATTAGAGCCTCAGACTGATCACGGGGAAGGGCTGAGGGTCAGAGGCTGTTGTGGCCCTGAGTTGGAAGCGGGGCTGGAGGACTCAGCCCAGGGCAGCGGCTCTGCTTCTTCCCATAAAACCCCAGGGGTCTCCAGCTCAGTCCATGTCACCCCCCCCAGTCACTGCCCCCCAAGGCCCTCAGGATAAGTTGGGCTCAGGGCCCTTCCTGGCCTGGCTTCAGAAGCCTTGTCAACCTCCTCTCCCCTTCGCCAGGGACCTTCCCATCTCTGGGCCTTTGCGCACATTGTTCCACTGCCTGGGATCCAGAGATGTGAGTCAATCAAATCATGTCTGCACAGTGGGGTGAGCCAGGGAGAGAAGGAAACACCGGCTGGCACATCAGAGGGAATGGGTTTCCGACTGGGCCTGGAGGGCTGGGTTTCAAAGCCTAGGCAGGAATTTTCCAAGAGAACACTGTGAGGAGGGTGTCCCATGGGTAAGCATGTGGATGCGGGGATACGGGATGGGGAGGACAGGCCACCCAACGAGGTGGGAGCACTGACCTGCTGAAGAATCACCATGGTCCCAAGTCAGGAGCCCCTGATGCCCACTCGGCCAGGCACCGTTCTGCAGGGAGAGAGACTATGTCATGCCTCCAGGCAGGCCAGCCTTGGCAGCCTTGAGTCCGGCTGGGGTCACCTGGGCTCCTCCCAAAGCCCCAACTCCTCCTCCCTCAAGGGAACCCTCTTTGGCTTCTCTCCCTCTGGCCACCGCCCAGCCCGCATGACCTGAGCCTCAGCCACTGTCACCAGCTCCACCACCCAGAGCAGCTGAATTCTTCTCTCAGCCTCAGTCATTCAGAGATTCCCAAAGGTCTCCTAGAAAGCAGCAAGTCTGGCCCCACCAGACCTACGCCAAAGAGGCCCAGAGAGGGACCAAGACTTGCCCAGGGTCACACAGCTGGCCAGAGCAAATTTAGAACTAGGATTTAATCTCTGGCACTCAGCTCAGGGACTGCCCCAGGAGTGTGGGTGACAAAGACAGGCCTGAATGCGGGGGAGGTCGTGGGCTGGGCATGACTGCTCACGGCACACCCCGCCTGAAACCTCTCCAGAGCACCCACTGCCCTCAGGATGGCTTCGAAGGCCCAGCACCACCTGCCCCTGCTGATGCCTCCACCTTTTCTCTCACTGCTCACTCCCTCTCCTACCCTTACCCTTGGACATCCTCAGTGACCCACTGCTCCTGAAATACACCAGCTCTGGCCATCTCCTGACCTTTGCATACCTGGCCCTTCTACCTGAAATTTTGACTAATGAATTTCCACCTATGGTTCATGGCTCAGTTCAGATAGTACCTCCTCTAAGAAGCCTTCCCTGACTACCCCCAGGCTGCCAAAAGCCTCTATACTACCCTTGATCCCATCTTGTCTACATGCATTATGTTGTCAGGGCAGGGTCTGCCCCACCTCTGCCCCCAACACTGGGGAGTTGATTCAGGGCAGGGCGTGGCCGGTGGGAGAGGGTCTGAGCCATAGCAGTCTCTAGCCTTGGCCAGCACAGGGCCAGGCCCAGAGATGGGTTCAGGAAGGACCTTAAAAGGCAGCCCCAGCCTACAGGCCCTGGGCTGAGGCCCCTCTGGCTCCCAACCCGTCCCCTAGAATGCGCATCAATTTTTCACAAGGGCCCATTCAGAGCCACTGGGGCATTTGATCCTCTGCCCGCAACACTGCCTGACACCTGAGCCCTGACCCCTGCCCTGGAGCTCTGGGACACAAGCGGTCCTTCCGAAGACCTGAACTAGTCTGAGTGCCTGGTGGGGACGTGGATTCAACGGGGCCAGCAGGCAGCTGCCACCGGGCACTGTGTCTGAAGATGCTGCCGGGCTGTGGAGCCAGCACCTTACACCAGCGTGAGCCGCAAGGCCGGGGGCAGAGCCGGTGCTTTCACTGGAGATGCTTGGCTCCAAGGGATGCAGGAGAGCGGTGAAGGCCCGGAATCCAGGGGCCACATGTTAAAATGACAAGACACACATTTTATTTCTAGAACCGAGAACTAGACCACCCTCAAGTTAATTTCTTTTCACACTGACCGCAGGGGCATAGACTGTATTTCTATTTCTGTCTATGCCTGATTTTACCTCTTCCTCACTACAACCCTGGCTGGTGCGGCTTCATACTCTCATTTCACAGATGGGACATTTGGGGCATAGAGGCAGCAAGCGCCTTATTTAAAACCAGAGATAAAGAATGTCAGAGAGAAAGCAAAGGACACAGAGAGAGCGGACTCTCCTCTCTCTCTGCCTAACCTAACCTCTCTGCCCCTAACCCCAGTCCCAGCTCACAGAAGATTCGATGGATAACATGCCCCTTGGCTCTTGCTTCCTCCAGAGGACACACGTCCATCTTCCCAGGCTCAGGACAGTTTCATTCAGTGGCTGTGGTGGCTAAGCCCTCAAGAGTGACAAGAAGCCCAGTTCCAGGAGCAAGTGGCTGCGGGGCAGAGGCTCTCGAGGTAGCTCAAGTCCATGACCACTCCACATCCAAACCCCTCCCAACCCCCAGGACAGTGGGCAGCCCATCCTTACCTGGGGCTCAGCTGCCCACTCTCAGTGACCTGCCAACCTGGCACAGCTGCCACCTGCACAGAGCACTCGGAAAGCTGGGGTCACGGGTACAGGACAGTCTGCAACACGCGCCCCCTCTTCCTCTGTCTGGCTCCGAGGCTTGCCGTGGGTCTCTGGGTCTTTCCTTTCCTTGTCGTCTCTCTGTATGTGTCTCTTGTCTGTCCCTCTCTCTCCTGCCCAGAGCGGCTGTCCAGCCAGCACTGCCGCCCTCCCCTCCTCACTCCAGAGCCTTCTCCCAGGAGGCGGAGCCGGAGGGGGCCTCCAAGGTCTGGGTGCGGTGACATCAGCGTGGGGGACGGGCCGTGCTGGGGCTGGGACTAACGTCCAGAGGCTGCCCACGGCTCTGTGCAGAGCACTGGCTGCCGACGAGGAGGCAGGTGGTTGGGATCTGTCTCTGGCTGTGCTGCTGAATGCACCAGACTTGGGACCGGGCCCTCCAGGCTGGCTTCAGTGCTCCCTGTCGTTTGCAGGACACTGCCTGCTGCTCAGCACCTGGGCAGGAACCCCCACCTGATCCTGACTTGGTCGCTGATGTGTTGGGGGTCTCAGCCCCGCTGCTCTCCTCCGGCCCCTTTGCGCTTTCTCCAGCCCCGTTTGGATTCCTCCTCCTCGACCTGGCTGTTTGGGACTTTGAGAGGGAATGGTCAGGCAGAGCGTGGCAGGAGGGAGAGTGCTGAACTACCCCTGCCTTCTGCGCCTTCTCCCTCCTGCACACCCACCCTTACCTCTGATGTGTGTCCCCGGACGCTCGTCAATGCAACACTGTCTCCACAACCTGCTCTGGAGGATGGGGGACAAATGTTAATTCTGTAATCATCCAGAAACTTTGCCAAACCGGCTGATGAGGAGCAACCCCATAAGTGACAGCGACACATACAAACTGAAGTGAAATCTGTGATTTAAAGGGGTAGGGGGACCAAACAAAGAGGAGCACACGTCTTTGGTATCAGCGTTGGCAAGGATGGTGACCTCGTGAGGCCCTGTGGGGATCTGGCACTTTCTCCTTCCCACCCTCGGCAGCCCCGCACCTGTTGGCAGCCCCATCATGCAACTCTCCAGGGCTGCTCAGGGTGGCAGAGGGACGTCTCTTTTGGGTCCCTAGCCTCCGATAACTGGGGTGTGTCTGCAGGGAAGCCGCCCAGAAGGTGGGGTGGGGGCTCAAAGGGGTGCTATAGCTCACCAGTGCCACCTGCTGGTCACAGCCCCCCTCCCCGCCCCCAGCTGCTTCCGCCAGATGAGCTGAGCGCCACTGGAAGTGACCATGATGGGAGGCAGCCTCTGTTAGGGCCTTTGTCCCCTCAGGCCCGACGACCCTTACCCAGGAAGACCGCACAATGCTGTCTTCCCCTTAGCCTGGTGGGCCTAACAGGAGTCTATAAGGTCCTGGAACACAGTCCCCACCTGGGATTTACACCTGCTGCCGAAACCTAGTATCGGCCACTCTTCAAGTCCCCATCTCCATCTTCCCAGGCTGGGCAGGCCAGTGGCGTCAGCCCTACACGGTGGGAAAATGAGATCCCGGGGGAGCACAGGGGAGCCCATGGCACATGGCGGGCAGCAGGGACAAAGTGCAGTGAGCTGTGGGGATAGGGTAGAGAGGCGGGCAGGTTGTGGGGGACCAGGTGCCCTCCAGACACCAGGAGGACAGCTACATTGTGCTCAGCCACGCTATGAGCCAGGCACTATGCTGAGTAGATCACATGGTTTGCAATGCCCACCTCTCAATCCCGTGAAGCAACCGAGGCACCTCGGTTCACTTTGCCCTCACCCTGCACTCACCTCCCGTTCCCCAAGCCCAGTTTTTCATTGAGTCATCCACTCTGCCTTCAGAATCATCCCAACCCTGCTTCTTCCCACCGCCACGCCAGCTTCCTGGCCTGAGATGCCTGTGTCTGCCCTCAGCAGCCTCCGCTCTGGCGCCCCACACCTTCCTGTGCCCCTCAAGCCCATCACGTCTTCCCAGCCCTTCATGGACTTATCAGGGACTAGGCCGTCTCTAACCCAGCAGGCCCACCCTGCCCCATCAGCAGCACATGGTGCAGTGTTTGTCATGACCAGAGTATTTTTTTTTTGTTCCCTCTGCTTGTTTATAGACTGTTCCAGAGCAGGGACTTCTAGGTCTGGTTCCCCACATCCCTGGTGCCTTGGCACAAAGCCAGCCCTATGCAGATCTGCTGAATGAAGGAATGACTGAATGATCCCCCCAATCTCAGCTCACAGATGCACCAGGCAGGCAGTGGGGCCTTCCCTCTGACCAGAGGACAGTCGCCCAGGCCTGTGGAGCATTCCTGCATTGTCCCTTCCGCCCAGAGGGACAGAGAGACACAGGAAAGTCTTTCTGGAATTGTGGTAAGATTTATTCTGAGAACAGAACAGGCTTCCTGTTCCCCAACAGTGGGTCCTGAGAAGAGGGAAGCCCAGGTCTGGGTGGTGTGGGCTGGAGGCCCCACCCATCTGCTAATGGGGACTCTCAGGCCCCTGTGGGTGCCTATAGTGAACAAAGCAATTGCTCTCCCCGGCCTCCCTTACCTGCCCAGCCCCCAAGGTCTCCTGGGGACCAGAGATTCCTGCATAGCCAGGAGCCAGCCTGGCCCACCTTAAGGGGCAGGAAGCAAGGGCAGCACTGCAGAACCCGTTCTGTCAGGGGGTGGGAGGCATGGCCTGGCCCCAGGGCTAAAGCCCACAGGTCTGCCACTTGGTCTTGGTGTGCCCTTGCATCCCAGGGGACATGGCTGAGCAAAGTCCCATGTGTTAGCTTGAGGCTCAAGCTGGCTCACTTCTCCACCCCCTACCCAGGAGCCTTGATTTGAAATAGACGTCAAGAAGTGGTGATTACATGAACATATACATAGTGTGTGCACATACAGAGATACATAGAGAAAGCGGTATTATTTTGCCCTTACTCAGCACTTGGTAGTAAGAGCGCGGACACACTCTTGACTTGAAGAGTGGCCGGTACTAGGTTTCGGCAGCTGACACAATGGTCCCACTTTGTTGAAGGGGGAAATCGAGGCACAGGAGGTTTAAGTGACTTGCTCCCGGTCATGCACGGAGTCCCGGCCCCAGGCCCAAGTTCTTGAGGGGAAGTCCCGGCTTTCCAGAAAGAATGCTCTCGTCCTCCTTGTCTTTCATTTCCTGGCCCCTCGTGTGGCCTAGGGCCAAGGTCTAGGAGCAAAGCCAGACACAGAGTGAGGAGGCAACGTCAGAGAATCCAGCACCTCCAGCCAGAACACGGAACCACACAGCAGGATCTGGAGTCGAAAAGTCAGGTTCCCTAAAGGAAGTCCCAGCGAGGACACAGGACTTCCTGTTCTTGAATTAACTGCACTTTTTCATTTGCTACACCTGGTCTGGAAGCCCAAGAAGGGCACAGAAGAGATCCCAGGTGGGTCACAGCGCCAACACTTACGAAGAGGTCTCCAAGAGCACAGCTGCCAGCCTGCAAATGCCCACGCACAGACATCCTCTGCGCCCACCTCCAGACCTCCTGTGAGAAGAAGGCCTGCTCCCACAACAGTGGGATCAAAGTCACAGCAGAGGACCAGAAATACTGGAGCCAAGAAGAGAAGTGGAGATTCAGCTTCCAATGTTCCTTTGAAAGCCCTGATTAAAATTGAGATTTTTAAAACAAAAAGAATATAAAATATTGAGGACTAAAAGGAACATTTTGGCCCGGGCAGAAAGGGCACTGCGGCCTCCTAGGCTGCATTTTGGGGGAATGTTGGTGGGGGGCTGTGGTCAGGTGATGGGGCTCCCTATCTCCTGCCAAGCCCAGTGGGTGGCCTGACTCCAGCGGGCCTGGCGCCACACACCCGAGTCCCTTCTTCCAGGAAAGCTGAGGTCTTACAGCAGAGAGACTCTGGGAGCACGTGTCCCCTTCTGGTCCCCAAAGCCCCTCCACCTGCCTGCCCCCTGGCCCACCAACGCAGGCATGCTCCTTGAAGCACTGGGCAGAGTCAGGAAGACGCCCTTCCTCACCCCCACTGACACCACCCCTCCAGGGACCTTAACCCAGGGGCTGGGAATGGAATCAGGAGCTAGAATGAGCAGGCAGCGGCAGCTGCCCTGGGTAACTGCCTCTGAGAGGACCTGAGGATAGAGGGGAGGCCCAAGGCAGAGGCGGGGGAGGGCCCCACTTCGCCTGTGGCCTCGAAGGTGTCGTTTATTCATTTGGCAAATCTCCACTGAGTAAGGAAATGGATGGGTGAGTGGCTGGGATTAGAGATTGAACAAATGTCACTTGCATTTTTCCCAATTCCAGCCTGAGCAGGAGCCGAGTCCTTTCAAGGTGGGAGAAAAACCCAGTATTGTTGATGGGAAAAGTGAGGTCTGGGAGGCTGGGTTGGGCCCAGGACTCAAAGGGCAAGAACAGGGCTTGGGGATGTGGCAGTTTGTGTGTAAACAAGTGACGTCTTCTTGGCACTCCTTGGCAGACAGCAGGGCCTTAGCAAAATGTTTTCAATGGCTAGAGTCCCTTAGCAGTGGTGACAGTTGAGGTGGGGAAGACTATATTAAATCTCAGGCAAGGAAACACCTCCACGAGAAGGGAATGCTTTGGGGCTCTCAGGACACTGGGGCTGAGAGAGGGGCAGAGACTTCCCAAGATCACATGGCAAGTCAGTGGAAGAGTGGCACAAGGACCCCAGCGTCCTGGCTCCCAGGCTAGACTCAGGCCCAGTGGGGACATGCAGATGGTGGGAACTGCTGGAGCCAGGTAGGTGGGCAAATGTCAGACAGCCATGAGGGAGGTGCTGCTGAGGATGTGTACGGCCACGGTGCCTGGCAGGTCGCTGGGCTGCCGGCTGTCTCGGTCCCGGAGGTGGAGCGTATGCAGGGGCTGGAGGTCGTCCGGGTCAGCCTTTAGGTGCACCTGGCCCAGAAACTCATCCTTCAGCACTCGGTGGTTCCAGACCTGGGAAGAGACAGAGGATGGTGGGAGGGGCTATCTCCCAGATCAGGATTATAGTCTATGGGGGGGCTGGTGGTGGTGGCAGGGCCTTGAAGTTCAAGCCTGGCTGAGGGGCAGGAGCTCTGGGCTGTCTGCCTCCCCACAAACTGTGGGCAAGCTGGCGCCCCTTCCAGAGTCTCAGGCTCCTCATCTAACTAAGCTCCCTTCCATGCATACAGTTAAATCTGTTATTAGCTCCACTACTGATCTTGGGTGAACTTGGACAAGTGATACACCCACTGCCCTAGTTTTCCCATCTTTAATATGAGGGTTGAATCAGCTGCCCCTCTCCAGCCCTGAGACCTATGGGTCTGTGATTTGATCCAGGGGGACCCAGTGTTAAGAAAACTTGGATAAGCCACAGTGGCTCCCACAGGGGGACCCAAATGTTTGTTTACAGATGCTGTCTCACCGAGAGAGATGCTAACCAGAGCCTGAGGGACAGAGGGCACCCTACTACTGAGAGAAGGAAGCCATGCGGAGGACACCGGCTGATGCCCCGCCCGGGCTCTTGGGAAACAACCACCCCCACCACGTGGCATCTCAGTGCCACTTTATTTCCCCCATGGGAGAATGGGAGGGATAGTTCCCAAAACTGGGGGTGAGGTCAGCAGAGATGACCACTGTCCCCAGCCAGGATACTGACCCTACTGGGTCTCAGGACCACACCGGCTAATCCAATTCACCTACCTACAGAGGGACCTTGGAGTGGCAAGAGAGCTCCCAAGGCCACACCAGGGGTCAGGGACAGACAGACAACCAGAGCCCAGCATGCCTGGGTCCCTGTCAGAGGCTCTTCCGCCTCTGAGCAAAGTCCCATGTGTTAGCCCGAGGCACAAGCTGGCTTAGTGGAGAAGCCTCAGGCTGGGAGCCTAGGAGTTTGCCTCCAGACCAGGGGACTCACCTGGACAGTGATGGGCTGGCTCGGCTTCTTGCGGTAGAAGATGCCTTTCACATTATACTCAGGTGATGACGCGCCCTTCTGCACAGCGGAGCGGACTTTGTCCCCCTCACACTTGATGATCACGTAAGAGTTAGCCCCTAGGGAGAGGGAGTGGGAGAGGGGGTCAGGGTGGGTCGGGGGCTGCGGCAGGGCCAGATATCTGCAAGTGAGATGCCCACCTGGGCTCGATTATTCAGATGGAGAGACTGGAACCTTACCCACCTCAGGGCCCCTTCATTTCCAGAGACAGGATGGCCAGCAGGGGCACACTGGCCATCTCTGGCCTCCATACCTTTACCCACACTGCTCCCTCTGCCCAGAGCACCCTTCTCCCTTATCCCCTTTCATCAATCAGGCTTTGTATCTTAACACCTCCTCAGCCTGGACAAAGGCCGCTCCCTCCAGAAAGCTTTCCCTGAGGCCTCCTCTCAGCTGGAAGCCTCCTGAGAGCAGAAGGTAGACCTTTTCCTCTCTGTGTGCCCGGCATCAGGCATCACCCCAGAAATGGCCAGGCCTACAGTGCCTCTGAGAGCAGGAGAGCTCTGAGGCTGGTATCCATGCTGGCAGGGAGAGGCCATGGGGCAACTGGCAGGAGGGCTGGGGGACTTTCCCTGGGAGAGCTCACCTGTTGGGGAGTCCTTGAGGCCAGCAGCCCCCAGGACATGTACCTGGGTCACCAGCTGGGGGTAGCCACAGAGAGAGCTCCAGCAGGTGTGTGGGGGCTCGTCCAGGCGCAGCTCCCTGATATGGAGCAGCGGGGAGGAGGGAAGTGATGGAGAAGAGCCAGGAAGACAGGGGTGAAGAGGGGGTTCAGGAAGTGGGGAGGGAAGAGAAGCAGTATTTAGCCCAAACTTGATTTCATTTAGTCCTGGGAAAATCCCCATGGGCACTCCCCAGCTGTCCAAGTCATAGGGGCTTCCTGCCTTCTCTATCCCTATCAAGGGTGCTCTATCCTTCCCCTGGGGAAAGGCAACTTGCTCGGTACCTGCTGTGTGCCAAGCCCTCTGTGGGAGATACAGGTGATTCCTAATCCTCGCAAAGCCCCAGGAGACGGGTGGCTATGATGATGCCCATTTCACAGCTGCGGAAGCAGCAGGCTCACCCAGGTGAAGGGCTTGCCCAAACAGCTGGAAAGTGGAGGAGCCTGGGCCGGCACGTCCCTTGGCTGTCTGGCTCCACATGCCACAAGCTGCCTCCTGGGTCTGGCATGAGGGCCCCGTCTCACCTGCCTGGGGGACACTGAGCCTGGGCTGTATATCACAGTGGAGGTCAGCACAGGACACACAGGGTCTGTGCCCTAGCAGGGATAGAAAAGGCTTCAGCGGTCCACTGGACCCCAGGGCCACCCCCATGCGAGAGGAAATTGTGACCAGACCCAACCCTGGAACCAGGGCCCGACTCCGCCACTGGCTGCATGGCCTCAGATGACACTTCCACCCTTGATCCCTGAATCTCACTGGTAAAGTGGAGGAGTCAGGCCTCCTGCTCAGGGATGCGGGAAGATCAAATGAGATGAGTGAAAGCTTCTTTGTCAACTATAGAGTACAGTGCCCATGTAAGAAACTGTTCCTAGTCAGGGCCAGGGATGCTGGGACAGGGGAACAAGGGAAGAGAAGGGAAGGAGACGGGCCCTGGTATCAGCCCAGGGTGGCTGGAGGCCCAGAGACACTGAGCATCTCTGAAGCTGAAGGTTCCTGGTTGGCCCAGTGTGGACCTCACCCCCACTCATGCTGGCCCCGGGCCCATCCCCAGGTACCGGCAGTTGGAGGGCACATCAGTGAAGACTCGGAGCAGGAACTCGCCGGTGTGGCCTGGCTCGAAGGTGGTGGGGATGATGACGTAGCGGCCCTCGGGCTGCTCGGTGCGCAGGAAGACGCTGCGCGAGTTGATGTAGATGGAGCTGGCGGCCTTGTGCTGCAGGCTGTGCATGCGGTACTGGCGGTTCTCCTCCACCTGCGGGAGCAGGAGGGGCTGGGCACGTGGAGACACACCCTGCGACACCCTGGCCTACCCCCTCTCCCCCTCAGCACCACGGAAGGGACCACGGAATCCCTTTATATGAAATGTCTAGAACAGGCAGATCTACAGAGACAGAGGTGGATTCGTGTTTGCCCAGGGCTGAAGGGAGGAAGTCTGGGAGTGGGTGGTGATGGTTAAAGGGAGCAGGTTTCTTCCGAGGGAGACGAAAATGTTCTACAGTTGATTGTGGTGATGCTTGCACAACTCTGGGATCACACAGAAAGTCATTAGATTGTATACTTTAAATGGCTGAATTGCATGCTGTGTGAATTATATCTCAATAAAAACTACTTAAGGAGGCTGAGCGCAGTGGCTCATGCCTGTAATCCCAGCGCTTTGGGAGGCCAAGGTGGGAGGGTCACTTGAAGCCAGACATTCAAGATTAGCATGGGCAACCAAGCAAGACCCCATCTCTACAAAAAACCTAAAAATTAGCCAGGCATGGTGGTGTTTAGCTGTCGTCCCAACTAGTAGGGAGACTGAGGTGGGAGGATCGTTTGGGTCCAGGAGTTTGCGACTGTAATGAGCTATGATATTGCCACTGCACTCCAGCCAGGGTGACAGGGCAAGACCTTGTCTCTTAAAAAAAAAAAAAAAAAAAAAAAAAAGAGGGCAATAGGAATCACCCTGATAACAGTGTCAGTGGGGTTTCCGACTCTAACAGCACAACTAAGTACCAGGAGCTGCAGAGGTCACAGCACATGTCCATGAAATGACACTGCCAGCTGCCAGGACCTGCTTGACTGTCCTCGAAACAAGCGTCACGATATGTTCTGGTCACACTAGTGAAGATCATCACATGCCAAAGTCACAACAACATGTCACAACACGCTAGCACACAATGAATGTGCCAGCACAAGGGTGTGAACAGACTGCTATGGTGGGACCAGGCACATCAGACACTGAGGACTCAGCACGGACCCAGCCCCTGCAGGTCCCTGTGGTTTTGTTACGTTCTCCAGGTCTGACAGGCACATGGGGTCCCACCGTGCTGACTGTCACCACACACTGGGCATCAGAACACGTGGAAGGCCTCAGGTTCCAGGCCAGGGAGTGTGGCCAGGGGTGACCCCATCAGGTTGTGCTCAAGGATGCCTCCTCCTGATACCAAGCAAGCCCTCCAATGCAGGAAGTCTGAGGGACTGCAAAGGGCTCTGAGCCCTGAGGGGGAGCACAGGGGCCCGGCAGATACCCAGGACCTCCCAGGGCCCGGCCCCAACCGCCAGCAATCCTCCGCTTCCTCATCCACCAAACATCCCAGGCCTGGGGGTCTTAGGCAGAAAGGAATGAGGCTGAGCAGGCTGGGCCCTCTGTGAATATTCTAAAGGGCCTATGTCACAGCATCCTCACAACATCTGCCACTGCAGCCGCTGTGGCCCGTGACCAAGGTGTTCTAGAGTGTTCTTCCCCAGGCATGGGCAGCCCAAACTCCAACTCCCTCCTTCGCCCCACCCACAGCAGGGGGCCCGGCGGGCCTCACCTTGTAGATGTCAAAGCCGATGGCCAGGTTCTCACCCTTGCCCTCCCGGCGCGTAGACCGCTTTGGCCGCTGCTGGATGCAGATCAGGACTTCATCTTCTGGTTTCTTGACATCAAAGATGTACTGCAGGTGTGGCCAAGGAGACGGAGAGAGAGAATGCAGTGAGACCACGCCAGGGATGGGCTGGCTGGCTCCCGGAAGCTGGGACTCCAGAGCCTGGACCAGTCACAGCACCGCTCTGCACCTTGGTCCCTCTGCCGTGAGATGGGCCTACCAGGGCCTGCAAGGTCTCCCCTGCACGAAGGCCAGGGAGATTCAGTGCCATGACGGCTGCTCCGCGCAGAGCCTGGCACACAGGTGGTGCTCAACAAAGGCACACCAAGCATGAGGGGAAGCGGTGCCATGGGTCAGACCGGGGAGGCTGTGGGAAGAGGTCCTCGTGGGGAAACCCAGGCCAGCCAAATTCCCCAGGAAGGGACAGAATTGTGCTGTTGAGGAAACAAAGGGGTTGAGTCCCCAGCTCAGCCTCTAAGTGTCCCTGTAACTCAGGACAAGACACCCCTATGCCCCTCAGAGCCACAGTGTGCTCATTTTTACCACCTGCAGGTTAGATTGTGAGGCTGGTGGCTTCATGACCGCCAGCTGGGACCGATGTGCCCGACTAACCCCCACTGTACAGACAGGTTTGCTGAAGCCCAGGGAGGCACAGGCATTACCCAAGGTCATGCAGGAGTCCCTGGCAGGACAGTGGCAAGGCAGCTGCACCCCCCAGCAAGGGCAGGGTGGGGGTCCCTAAGAACGCCCACCTGTGGGTTCTGGAAGAAGGTGTCCTTGTGGTTGATGCAGCCGCCACTGCGGTTCTGTCGGGGGTCCTCATGTGGCATCCAGGCACCATGCAGCCGGGCCTCCTCCCACGTCTTGTGGATGCTCAGGTAGGACGTGTTGATCAGGCGGCACTTGATGATGTCTGTGAAGTACCGGCACACGTCCTCGAAGGTCATCCTGGACGTGGGGAGGGGGTGAGCGGGGTACCTCTCCCACACCGCCCCAGACCCCTGGCCCCCTGCCCACCCACCTAATATCTCCATATGGCCCAGAGGTGAGAGAACACAGCTGGCTTTGAGAAGGGAGCTAAGCCCACACAAGGGCACAGGCATGGCATTGCACGGACCCTTAACCTCTCTTTTGACCGGTTTCCTCACCCGTAAAATGGGGCTAAATCTAACAGCGGGTGCCCGTCTCAGAGCTAGTGAAGGAATCAGGTAATGCAATCCAAGCAGGCAGTGCAGCTTTCAGCAGACTGTGAATCGTGTTAGTAACTACTGTCTGCTGCCCTCTACAGTTTATAAGGCACGTTTTCACCCATGATCTTCCGTGGGAACCCCATGGTGAGCGTGCTGTGGTGGCCAGGGTGTTGCTACGGTCACTGCACACTGTGAATGCCTCCAGGGGCTGGTGGGGACAGGGGGCAGTGAATCAAGGGTGAACATGTAAGAGAAAGGCCTTCAGAAGAAACCCTTTCAAAAGACAAGGGGTTCTTCCATGTTTTTCTCTGCTGACCCCTGAGCAAGACTGGCAAAGTGGCCTAGGTGGCCTCCTGCAGCGGCTGACCTGACACCTACAGAAGGTCACTGGGGTGGCAGGACCATTGCCATCTGCCCCTGGCCTGCCTGGGTGCCCTCACACAATCCAGCATACACAGGATGCCTGTACCCCTCCAGGAAGTGGCTGAGTCTCCCTATCAGGTTCTGTGACACAGCCTGGCCCACATTCGGAACTCATGCAGGTCAAATGAATGCAGGATGAACCCTTTTTATTACTGGGGTTTTTCTTTCTGGTTTTGAAACAGGGTCTTGCTCTTTTGCCCAGGATGGAGTGCAGTGGCCAATCATGGCTCACTATAACCTCAGCCTTCTGGGCTCAAGCGGTCTTCACAACTCAGCCTCCCGAGTAGCTGAGACTACGGGGGTACACCATCACACCCAGCTAATTTTTCATTTTTGCAGAGATGGGGCCCCATTATGCTGCCCAGCTGGTTTCAAACTCCTGGCCTGAAGCAATCCTTCTACCTCAACTTCCCAAAGTGTTAGGATTATAGATGAGCCACTTTACGCAGCCAATTACTGGGCCCTTGAAGCTGGGCTGCTGTCATCTTCTCAGCTCACCCATGTACCCTCTCAGCTCCCCTCTCAAACCCAGCTGTGTCCCCTCATCTCTGCGCCAGGTCTCCTTCCCTGCCCACCAAGGGCTACTCTGTACCTCAAGTCTCAGCTTAGGAGCCAGCTCCCCTGTGAGTTTCTGCTACCTACTTTCAGAAATCAGGCTGCCAGGGGGCCCCTGGAGGCAGGCTGCAGGCAGGGTTTCCTGTAGCGGGGCTGGGCATGGCCCCAGTGCTCCCGGCCACACCACACCGCTGGTGCTGGACTGACCCTCATGCCTTCTTACCCTTGCTGGGGAGATCCTGGTAAGCCCACCTCTTAGCCCCCCGACTGCATGCCAAGGGCTCAGTCTGGGTGCCACAGCGGCCCCAGGACCCCTCAGTTTGGCAGAGGGAACTGTAGGGATGAAAGGGCCTGTTACTGCCCCACTAATTGTACAGAGGAGGAAGCAGGCTCTGAGATGGTGTGACTTGTCCAAGGCCGCACAGCAGGTTGATGATGTGGCAGGCAGCAGAGGCCTGGCTCCTGACTCACCACCTGGTGCTCCCTGCCAGGCCCGCGGGAAGCCCCCCCCCCAGCCCCAGCCGCCCAGGGCACACACACACTCACCAGAACTCACCGTCGTCCTGCACCGTCACACCCATCTTCTCCCGCTCACTCTTGCTCACTTTCTGCCACTCCTCCGAGCTGGGGTGCAAGGGCCAGGGAGGAGAGAGGGAGCTGTGTGAGAGGCAGGCCAACCGGGCAAGGGCGAGGAGGCACAAGGGGCAGTCCAGCACCAGGCCTCCAGCGTCACGGTGTGGCCAGGGGTACTGGGGCCATACCCAGCCCCTCTCCAGGAAGCCCTGCCTGCCTCCTCCCACAGGGGACTGTGGGCTGCCACCGTGCCAGGGGCTGGGAGGTCTGGAAGCGAAGCTGCAGTCTGGGGGGAGGGGGGCACCACCCCCAGTGAAGAGGGCTCCTTCACTTAGCAGCTGGGCTCCACTCCCATTCTGGTCTCACCAGGGACATGAGCCAAGCACTGAGGGTTCCCCATTTGCTCAGGGCTGTGGCCTCCCTCCCTGCTCCCCTCCCTCGTCCACTCACCAAGCTGGTCTCTATGCCTCCCACGGGTCACCTCACCCCCAACCCCAGGCCTTTCTTGCACTCAGTCCATCACCCCATACACTCACTCCAAAGTTATTCTCCCTTCTTCCTTCCTAGTGTCATTCTCTCCCAGACCCCTTCAAGGCCCAGCCCCGATGCCACCTCCTCCAAGAAGCCCACCATCCTTATCCAAGCCCTCATGCCCTGTGCCTGCACCCCCATCCCCAGGCCTCACGTGTCACTCCAGGGTCCATTCCACTCCCGCTCGCCCCAGGGGTTGCGCAGGCGGATCATGTCCAACTTCTCTGATTTGAAGAAGGCCAGGAGGCCGTGGCCCAGGCGCACCTTGCGCACATCAGTGACAGCGTACGCATGGCCCTTCACCAGGCCGCACGCCAGGCGGGCCTCCATGTCAGCTGCTGTCATTGCCTGTGGAAGGACACAGCTGCTCAGAAAGGCCACACTGGAACCCAGGCCAGGGACTCAGGTGCTGGAGGGCCAGGAGGCCGCATGGGACCTAAAGGAAGGGACGGGAATTGCAGGGATGGGGCAGCGCTGTGTTCACAGACCTTTACAAACCCCCACAGTGCAGCAGTCTCAGTAAAGAAAGGCATCCACGGTGGGTCAGCCCAGGGCAGTGCTGGGGCCGATGTGCACTGGCTCGGCTGATTGTTAAATATTCAGGACTTTTTTTTTTTTTAAAGACAGAGTTTCGCTCTTGTTGTCCAGGTTGGAGTGCAGTGGCGTGATCTTGGCTCACCACAACCTCTACCTACCGGGTTCAAGTGATTTTCCTGCCTTCGCCTCCCAAGTAGCTGAGATTACAGGCGGCCACCACCACGCCCAGCTAATTTTGTATTTTTAGTAGATAGGGTTTCTCCATGTTAGTCAAGTTAGTCTTGAGCTCCCAACCTCCAGTGATCCACCTGCCTCGGCTTCCCAAAGCACTGGGATTACAGGTGTGAGCCACCATGCCTGGCCAGGAATATTCTTAATAACTGGCTGTCAAACATGGGTAGCCGGGAATCAGCAGTGGTGTGAGTATTTACACCACAGTAATTGGCAATTGCTACAAAGGGCTTTTTACTTTGCTGCAAGGGAGTTTACCAGCACACCACAGGGTCTGCTGAACTTGGGTTCGAGCTTTGCTTTCTTTCTCATCCCAAACACGAGCAATTAATGAAATCAGGACCACCCTCAGGTGCACAGACACCCACAACCCAAGAGGGTCAGGAAAGAAGTTTTGGTTGAACAGTGTGGGAAAGACTTTTCACAGCTTAGGCAGGCGTCCCCAGACTTTTTACACAGGGGGCCAGTTCCCTGTCCCTCAGACCGTTGGAGGGCCGCCACATACTGTGCTCCGCTCACTGACCACCAATGAAAGAGGGGCCCCTTCCTGAAGTGCAGCGGGGGGGGCCGGATAAATGGCCTCAGGGGGCCGCATGTCCACGGGCCGTAGTTTGGGGACGCCTGGCTTAGAAGGTCTGGGCAGGCGGTTACACCTTCCAACCTCTCCTCTCCTCCATGAGGCTGAGGGTCTGGAGAGTTAGGAGCTGACCTGAGCATGGGATGTCACAGCTGTCTCCCATCTCCATCAGTGAGGGTGAAAGGGGCGGGGGCCGCCTCGGGGACCTGCTATGTTCTCACCTTGATGGAGGCACTGATGAGACCACCCCGGCTGTGCACCTTTAACATGCGCTCAAAGAGCTGGTTCCTCTTAGTCTCATCGTTGGCAAAGTCACCCTCAGTCAGGTCGATGGGCTCCGAAACTCCACCGGTGAAGTCCACCAGTGCGTCTGCTGTGTTGCCTCCGTCCAACGCCTGGTAACAGCCTGCCAGCCTGGGAAGCAACGCGGAAAGACTTCCCAGCTCAGCTCCCCAGCCAGCCTGTACCCCTTAGCTCACAGGGAGGGGTCAAACAACCTGTTCCAGTCTCACAGCAGGCCACAGGGGAGCCAACGCTAGAACCTAGTTCTTCACGCTTGGGCCAAGATTTAAGGCTTAAACTCCCCTTAGCCTTAGCGGCTCAATCTTAAAAAATCAGCTGTCCAAAAAAAAAAGAAAAAAAAAGCGACTCTTGTCAAAAGTGCCGCCAGTGGGCAGGGAGGAGAGGAGTTACTGTTTAATGGGTGGAGAGCTCCTGCTGGTGAGGAGAAGGTTCTGGGGATGGCGCGTGGTGATGCCCACAGCGCTGTGATCGTAATAAATGCCACCGAATTGCATGTTTCCACGTGGTTAAAATGAGAAGCATGATGTTTTGTATGTTTTACACAATGAAACTGTGTTTTTTTAAAAAAACGAAAACCAAGCAAGGCCACTGGGTCGGCTCCTCTGGAGTGAAGAGGGGCCTGCCTCCGGGTGGTGGACACTCAGGGGCCACCAGGGGGCTGGCTTCCCTTTCTTAGGATTGAAAGTGGAACCTGCCCATGTGTTTTCTTGGGTTTGTCTTTGAAGTTGGGAGTTTTTGTCTTTCCTTTTCCTCGCTCTCCCTTTCTCTTGCTCTGTCTCTCTCCCTCCTTCCCCTGACCCCTCCCCACATTTTTCCAGCAAGATTGACAAATGGGCCTAGCAAGAGGAACCCCCCGGAGGTGGCGAGGCTGGCCTCTGACCCCACTGCCCCTTCTCCCTCCAGCCTAGGCCCATCCCTGGCCTGCAAGGGCCTGGGCAGGTCACTCTTTCCCAGAGCCTTACACAGCTCGGCAAACCTTTGCTTGTGCCCATTCTATGCTGGGCTCTGTGCCGGGCACCGGGGCACAGAAGCAGAAGGCACGGAGCAGAAGGAGGGGTCGGCCAAGACAGAACGGACGGTGGATGAGAGGGAGGCCCAGCAAGCCTGGAAGGTGGGCACGTAGCCCACCCGCACAACCAGCCCCAGCTCAGCTACCACACCCCCAACCAAGGCCCCAGCCAGGGCATGGCAGCAGGAACCTTAGAGAAAGGTCCTGAATGTGAGTGCTGGCTCTGCCCCCAGCAACCTACAGGATGTTGCCTGGGCCTCGGTCTTCTTTCCTTAGAATGGGAGTAACCAACATTCCTCTCCACAAGGGGCCCAGTCCTCCACCCCACCCAGCACAGGCTCAGCTATGCCCTCAGGCCTAGAGGTTGAGCATGCCGTGTGCCTGCACCAGCCCTCACCTCTCTGTGCCTAAAGCCCTGGCTAGTGGAACACCATGAGGAGCCCCTCCAGTGCCACCCCCCGGGCCTCCCACCCACCTGCCTGCTGCTGGCACCTACTTGGCATAGGCCTTCTCCACCAGGGCGCACCAGAACTCATTGCGGGCGTTGGAGTGGCAGTAGATGAGCTGGTTGTTGACTGTGGGCAGCCGGTCATCAATGACCACATCCACCCATTCCCCAAAGCGCCAGAAGCGGAAGTGGAAGATGCCCGCGTAGGCGTCGGGCTTTTCGGGGTCCCATTCCTGCTCCTTCCAGTCCGGGATGACCTAGGTTGGGGGAGCGGGGACAGGATGGGGGGACAGTGAGGGGATGTCTGGCTTCCTGAGGAAACAGGTGTGCATGCCTCCAGCGAATCAGAATGGAAAGGAATACCGGCTTCGGGTTCCCACTCTGCCACAAGCCCATGGGAGACCCGGTGAACCCTCCCATCTCCGGGCTCAGGTTCCCATCTCTGTGGGGCTTGGAGGCTCCCTTGGCCTCCTTCCAGCTGTGTTGTTCTCAGAGTGTGTGAGCTTCCCTCTCTTTCTCGTGCCTCCCTGCAACCTTCCCAAGACTTCTGTCTACATCCACCGCCAGCTCCTGCCTAGGGACCAGCGTCACCATCCACCCATCCAGCCACTCCGAGGCTGGCAGCCCTGCCGGCTCCTTCATTTCCCTCCCTCCATCCAATCAGGCCGATCCGAGCGCCTCCAATCTTCTGAAATCCGTCTCCTCCTCTCCATCCCACTGGCACCACCTTGGCCCAATGCCCCATCTCCTCACCCAGGGACACGGTAACTGACCACAGCTACAACTGCTCTGGCCCCACACAGACCAACCTGGGCCTGTCACTTGCCTAGAGAATAAGATCCAAACTCTCAATGCACTCCCCCAGCCTCATTTCTCTGCCTCCCCCACGGTAGCCCCCACCCCTGCTCACTGCTCCCTTCTCCAGGCTCTTCCTCCTTCTCTTCACCCAGTAGACTTCCATTTGTCCTTTAGGGACCATCCTCTTCCTCCAGGAAGCCCTCCCTGACTCTTCAGATTAGGCCAGGATCTCTATCTCAGGCTCATGGCCCCTGGCATTTCTCATCTGAGATACTTACCTTTACCAAGTTACAATTAAGTAACTGTAGCTCAGTGTCTGATGTTATCACTGGAATGTCAGTTCTCTGGGGGCAGGGCCATAGAGGTATTGTTCTCTGCTATGCAGCCAGCACATAGCCCAGGGTCTGGCCCAAAGAGAATGCTTTGACTGAATTCAACATGCATTGACCGAATGAATGAATTTAGAGACACTGATTGGGACACTGGCTGAGGCATCGATTCTATGACTTATGAAGCACCTGGGAAATGCCTGTGACCACCATGAATTATCTCCATTTAATTCTCACAGTAACCTCTGAGTAGATGACTATTATCCATCCCTACTTGACAGGTGACAATATTGCGGCCTAACTCATCCAAGGTCACACAGCTAGAACATGCACACGTGCTTTGGAGGCAGATCAACCTTGATTTGAAGCCGGGATTCAAACCCAGATCTGTCTGCCTCTGAATGATGAGCTCCTTGGCACTATGGACCACTCTGCACCCAGTCCCAGGCTGGACGCTGACAACCAGGTGAATCACATGGTCCCTGCCCTCAGGAGGCTCCCAGTCTGGGAAAAGAGGTAGGCACCCAGGCAAAGTGCTGAAGCTACACAGGGTGCCCGCAGGGCTGTGCGAGAAGGGAGTGCCGGACCCTGCTCAGCAGCATCCACAGAGCTGGCACAGGGCGTCCCCAAGCAGATGAGGACAATAGCTGCTACCTGGGCAGAGAAGGGAAAACCCCTTACTCTGTCAAGTCAGGGTGCATAACCCCTAGCCCTGCTGGGAATGGGACCAAATAGAGCTGAGCCCCATCGGGACCATAAGTAGCTCCTTTTAGAAGAAAACAACTCCAGGTATAGGGGTTGCCCTGGCACCTAGGCAGAGAAACCAGAGGTATACCAAGAGGCCGGCACTCACATGAGTGTACAGACTTCAGCCAAAAGCCGCTTCCCACTGTACGCTCATTAAGGACGCTTTTGTTTGCGTGTCTCTTACCATCAACAGGGATGTTAGCAAAGGAAAAAGCTCCCTAACGGGACATGTGAGACCAAGAAAATGAAAATGCTAACTGCAGCGAGAGGTATTACTGCCCTAATGGAGCCCTGCTGGGTGCCAGGGCCAGGGCCAGGCTGCTCATAGTAGTAGCCTCACGACAGGCTGGCAGAAGGCTGCCCGCGGGCACAGTGAGGGAGGCAGGGTTCAAACCCAGGACTTCCCAGTCTGGCCCACTGTCTGGAATCCAGCAAGGGCTCAACACGGCCTGTTCCTTTCCCCACCCCCCTCACCCCCCATTTTCTGTCAACTCTGTGCCCTTTCTAAGTAAAAACACCCTGACTCCTGGCGCTCCCTCCGCACTTTGCTTTCAGGACAGAGAGCTGTATCCAAAAAGGTCCCATGGGAGGCCAAGGCAGGTGGATCACTTGAGGATAGGAATTTGATACCAGCCTGGCTCAACATGGTAAAACTCTGTCTCTACTAAAAAAGAATACAAAAATTTGGGAGTGGTGGCGCACGCCTATAATCCCAGACACTCAGGAGACTGAGTCATGAACTCGGGCGGTGGAGGTTGCGGTGAGTTGGGCAACAGAGCAAGACTCTCTCCTCATAAAAAAAGAGGAGTTCCATACAGGGTGGGGGTTACCGTTCCCACTGAGCAGATGGAAAGGCTGAGGTCCAGGGAAGAAGCAAGATCTGCCCAAGTGCACAGAGTGACGGGGGTCCTAAGCTGAGAACACGGGCCTGGCCCACTGCCTTCACCCCGCTTTTCCTGCTCCTGCCCTGCTCTGAATGCTCTGGACTGCATGGCTGGGCGGAATGCCCGGACCTCAGGAGGATCATGAGTCAAACTTGAGCCTTGGCCCTGAGCCCTCTGTGGCTCAAGGAACTGCTAATGAGGCTCCAGGGCCTGGAGATCCAGAGTCTGGAATCCCTGAGGGCCTCCATTTCGCCTCCTGAATCACAGCCCCTGCACTTGGCATGGGGTGGGCCCCAGGCCAGCCTTCTCACCGCTCAGCTGCTCTGCTGTCAGCCAGGATGCTGAGCGGGAGGGAGACTGTCCAGACAAGTGTGCTCACACGTGCACACACACCAAAAACCTCCCACGCCATGCTGGAAGTCCAGGAAGCCAGCATAGACTCCTGGGGCCATGTCAAAGGATTCAAGAGTTTCCTGCTGTCCAAAGATGGGCTAATTTGAGCACCAATAAGGGCAATAATGTCAATAGATTAAAACACATCCAATATGTTCAAATTCATGAGATCAGAATGACAGAAAAACAATTATCGGAGGAGGATAGGGAATCAACTCATTTTTTTTTTTAAACTGGAAAATTACAGGAAATGTATCCTGTCTTTGTAGACAAACTGTACCAGATGGTAATCAAATAGAGGGAAGTCTTGAACTGGAAAAGAATTCTAGCTCGTAAATAGAAAGGAATCATGGTATTTTACAACCACTGAAGAATTAACGAATTTAGGCAGTGGTCACCAATGGCTCCTAACCTCACAAAAAAGAAAGATAACCAGCCACGATGTGTCCCCTGAATGAACTACACATTTTCCATGATGCAGCTGTGACCAAAAAAAAAAAAAAAAAAATTGCTCCTAAACCTAAATTGGCCAACATGGTAAAATTCTGTCTCTACTGAAAAAGAAGACAAAAATTAGCTGGGTGTGGTGTCGCATACCTGTAATCCCACCCACTCAGGAGGCTGAATCATGAGCTCAAGCCTCTAGAGCTAATTCCCAGGTTACAGGAAATGCAGCATGTTAAACGCCACCATGAAGACGTAGTCACAAGACCCACACCGTGGGAAACCCCACAGGACAAACGGCCTAGTTTCTTTGCTAGATAAATTACTAGGAAAAAATAAAAGACGAAAGAGCAATCAACCAATTGCAGTTAGGGACTTCTGTTTGGATCTCATTCAAACAAACTGTAAAACCTATGCATATTTATAGTACACATTAGGAGTTAGAACAACTACTAGATGTTTTATATTAAGGGATTATTTTTAAAGAATTCAGTTGAATGTTGGTATTATGGATATATTTTTTCTGAGTCCTTATCTTTCAGAGATGCATCCAGAAGTATTTACAGATGAAATGAGATGCGGCCTGAGGAAGTGCAGGGGAGTGTAGAGGAAATACGGCTAGCCACGGGCGGCCAAGAGTGGAATTGAAGGGCTGGATGCAAGGAGTCCATCAGGCTGTGCTCTCTACCCTCTCGCTGTCTACAGTAGGAATTTCCCATCACCATGGACACCAGCCACCTGGCTCGGCAGTCCTCACTCTCAGCCTCATCTCTCGAACACTCCCTCCTTTGGGTCCCATCTACCATGACCACCAAACACCCGTACCACTTCAAGTCACCTCTGTGGCTCCCTCTGCCTCCTTCCCTTGTCTCTTAGAGGCTAGCTAAGCAGCGGCTTCCAGGGCCCTCCTGCTGAGCCACCCCTCCCCCACCCCCCACCCCCAGCGCAGTTGGGCAGCCCCTCCTCCTGGCACCCCAGCATGGCTCTCTTTTTCCTGCCCACTGGGAGGAGCTCCCTGGGGACAGGGGCCAAGTCTGACGCATCCCCAGATCTCCGGCACCCAGCACAGGGCCTAGCCCAGCTCCAAAGCTGGCTGGTGTCTTCTTGGGAGGAAAAATCCCCCACACTGGTCACGGTGTGGCCCTAACGGGCTGGTGACCTGTACACGCTACTTAATACCACATTACTAACCACTGACTTCACTTTCAACTGGGCCTCCTCTGAGTCTGTCTCCTCACCTACCTACGCTACCTCCAGGACTGTTACGAGAACTAAAGGAGACAGGCTTGGAGCTCTTTCATAAACTGTAGAGTGCTGTGCACACGAGGAGTCATCTGTGTTGGTGTACACATGTCGTGCCTTCACAAGGTCCTGGTCAACCTTCTTCCCAAGAGGAGAAAGGAGAAGCTCCCCACCACCCCCTGGGTGCTTATGAGGCTTTCTGACTTGGGCCGACCCGGCAGCGAGGTAAGGACAGGTGGGATCTGCACCCTCCCTCATAACCACCTAGGATGTGATTCACTAATGGCCACCCACTGCAAAACAGGCCCAGAAAGCTCAGGGTCCCACCCGTGGGTACACCACAGCATCCCTCGGCTCCTGGGTTTTCCCTGGAGACTCCCACCTAGACCATGAGGCTGCACTCAAATCCTCCCAGGGTAGTGGCAGACAGGCCTCTGCCCGGCTGTGCGACACAGAGGAGCCCAGAGAGGGAAGCTGGAGGACCTGCCTGCAAAGGTGTGCGTGTGTGGAGGTGTGTGCAGACTTGAGGCACAGGGAGGGGCTCTTCACATCTCTGCCTGGGACCCCAGAGGGCCAGCGCAGAGCGTTTCTGACCCATGCCAGCAGGGCTGTGGAATGGGGACTGCAGGGAGGTTTCCTGTGTAACTCTAGCTCGTGAGGGGAACGACGGGCCTTTGTGAGTCCTCAAAACTAGTGGGTCCCTGGTTCTATTAGATTCCTCAACTTCTGATTCCAAGACTCTCAAACTCCCAGAGTTTCAGATGCCATGACTGCAGGAGGCCAGGGAAGCGGTGAGCACCCCTGTCTTCTCGGAAGAGCAGAGCTCTGCTACTCTCCGCTGGAGACCAGGGTGTCGACACACCTCAGAGCGGCCACAGCAAGTCCTGCTTATGTGGCAGCTGAGACCAGCCTTGGGGCAGCCGCCCTCCCCCAGACCTCCAGATGCTCAGCAATAACGTAAAGGCTACCGGTGCCCTCAGCTGGGCTGCTCTGAGGTGGTGATGGTGGCAGAGGAGGACACACGTCCCCATGGCCGCTCTCTTGGACCACAGAGCCAGGCCAGCTCCTGCCCACACCTCCGCCCCACACCTGCCACCATCGGCACTGGCCTGTGATGCCTCAGGCAACTCACTCCGGCTCTCCACAGGTTCTCCTGCACCTTCACCGAGGGGTAACTCAGGTGAGACCGTGTGTCTATGGGGATGGGCAGTAACCACGGGCAAACTCGGAGGGAGAGTGACCGTGTGAGGGCTCCGGGAAGCTCAAGCAGTTTGTGGACATTCGCCCATTTCACCCTCACAATAGCCTCAAGGGATGTGCCATCACCGGCCCCAACGCACAGATGAGGAACAAGCTCAGAGGTCACCCAGGGCCATCCAGCTGGCAGGGTGGGACAGGCTACGTTGCTCCCCGCGCTGGCTCTCTCTGGACACAGAGCTCTGGGAAAGACAGGTCTCTTTCCCTGCGGTTTCTCGTGGTTTCCAGGGAAAATAGGTCATTTGTTATTCCCTGCCCTCTGGGGGTACAGCCAGGCCTCTGCTGCTGTCCCGAGGTTGGGAGGCTGGATTCTTCTGTCTCGGGCACCTCCAAGAGTGGCTGGAAGGCAAGCTCGTGGAGGTGTCAGGGCAGCAGAGAGCCCTGAGAGATGGGGGGTGGGGTACAGGGCTGGGGAAGGGTTCTGCGAATGCTGTGAGGGGTGTGTAAAAGGGAAACCGGGCAGCGGGGGGCAGCAGCTACTCTGAGCGGAGGATGAAAGGGGCTGAGAGACCCGAAAGTGGCAAGGTGGGATTTTGAAGCAGGGCTCCCTCCCAAACAAAACCACCGGTGAAGCCCCCAAGGCAGGGCTTGACTTGGTCTCCAGGAAGGGACCCGCCCAGCCCCAGCCTCAGGTGGGTGGGGCCCATCTCCCTGGTACATCCTAGGGACCAGTGTCACGGGGCCAAAGGTCCACAGGCCCAGAGCCTAGCCCACCCACACCTGCGCCCACGCCCCGTGTGACCTGGGCAAGAGGCCTCTTCCTCTGGACCTCAGTTGTCTCTGTCCAAAAATGAGCGAGTCTGAGGGTGGCGCTGGAAGGGCCGTCACAGAACCAGGCTGTTCATTCCGGAAGGTCTGAGGCTGCGAGGGGGTTAGGAGCTACCTGAGGATGTACAGCACATCCGTGACAGAGACCAGACCAAAGACGGCACAGACCTGACCCCACCCCACCCCTCAAGACCCTGCCCTTCTGCCTACCCCCTGCCCAGTGGCCCTGCAAGGCAGGGAGACTCCAGACGGCACCCGGTTCAGTGTCTTCCTACTCCAACCCCACCAGGGCGGTGTCCAGATGGCACCTCCTCAGCACAGCTCTCTCCACGCCCCACACGGAGGCAGCTCCAGTGCTACAGGAGAAACAGCCAGGGCGAGTGGCTCCTGGACGGTCTCAGGAGATTCAGTGAAGGCCCCGATTATTCCAGGCCTCCTCCTTGAAAGCTGGCAGGGGCTGGGGGCTGTGGGAAATGGCCAGGGAGCGGGTGCCTTGGGGCTGGGAGGGCTTCTGGAGGGGAGTGGGGCTGATGGCGAGAGACCGCACACCACCGAGGCCAGGGCACGGGCTTTATTGGGGACCTGCGTCGGGCACAGCAGAGGCACTCAGGCCCCAGGACAGATGGGCTGGGGAGATGGGCGGTCAGGACTAAGAGGGTCCCAGAGGTGCAGGGCGAGCTCAATCAAAGAGGCAGAAGGGCAGAGCCACTGTGCACGGGCCTGGCCTCCCCACATGGCCAGCCGGGACTTCTTCAAGCCTGTCCTGAAACAGATCCCAGAGCTGGGTGAGAAAGGAGCTGCGCTCAGCCCGCAGCCACTCCCACCCACAGATTCTCAGCTCCAGCATGCCTTCCCAGCCTGCACGCCTCCAGCATCCCCAGCCGCAGCAGGCAGCGCTGACCCTCCCACCCTCAGTGCATCTGTTCCAGGACCCCAAGTTCCTTGACAACTCTGCTTCATGAGGGGGAAATATCTCGGGCACATCCCTGACTGTCTGGGGACAAAACAGGGCTGGCCTTAAGTCAGGGTCCTGGGGACAGTGGCTTCCCTGGGGACAGTGGCTTAGCTGTACCTGGCTGATGTTAGGTGCAGGTCAGGCACTCCCCCAAAAGGGGGGCTCTCTGGGCCTGTGCAATGTGAAGGGGAATTATTCTTGGAGCCAGAGCTGAATCTGATGAAAGTTGTGCCTCAGTTTCCCCATCTGTTTGGTGAGTGAATTGCACCCAATGATCTCAGAGGTTAGCATTCTGCTAACACACCACTGCTACCTGCAGTCTGCTTCTAACCATCAGACATCGTAACTGCCCACACCTTCCCCCTGTCCCCCTCAGCTGCTCCGAAGAAGCCCAAGAAATGACAACAGATGCTGCATCAGGATGAAGCCCTTGCCTTCCCTGACCTGCAAGCTCGAAATAGCCTGACTCCCCAGCAAGGGATACTTGAGGGCCTGGAGAACCCACTCCCTCCAGCTCCAGGGCCTGGGACCCTCCCATTCAAATTCCCCCAGGCCAAGGAAACCCCCTTTACTAACCCACCCCCTGTTTCACTGTCTGGACTGCTGTCTCCCAGCTCAGAAAGCCCCGGGGCCAAGGTCCTGAGGACCAGGGCCCTGTTAAGAGCCACCCTTAACCAGCAGCAACGACCAACAGATAATCTCAAATTGCACCTGTTCCCTGGGCAGAAATAGGCCCCTAGAATATATCCGTGTGCACACAGCACACACTCTCTCTCTCATGGACACGTGTATGTAGAGACAGACCTCTGTGTAACCTCCCACTTCACTCTCCACACTGAAGTCAGACCCAGAAGAGCCAGAGCTGGGCCTACACCGCCTCCAGGGAGCCAGCCACTCTCCACTCCCCGAATCCACCCCTGCAGCAACCCTGCCCCACATCCTGAGGACTGTCAAGGCGTTATGGGACCAGCAGCCCAGAAAGAGGCTCCAGCAAAGGGCACCAAGGCAAGGGGGCAGTGAGTGCCGGCTTGCTGGACTCCCTGGGGAGACTGCCCCGTCACCTCCGTCTCCCCGACCCTGGAGGAAATGGATGCCAGGTTTTTCAATCTCTGTCTCTTGTCTCTCTTGGTCTTTCTCAGTCTCCGTCTCCCACAGTGAAGCAGAGAGAAGGCAGATGGCCCTGGCCTCCCCGTCCAGGCACACTGGCCTGTCATCTACAGCAGTGCAGTGGCTGGTCCCGCTTCTAGACTACAGAGCCTTGGAGTCTTCCTCCTGTGAGCCAGAGTACTGGCACCAGGCAGAAGCAGAGGAGGAAGGGCATGGGACTCAGGGGGCCTCTGGGCAAGCTGAGGACAAGCTGAGCAGGGAGAAGAATGGTCCCCAAAATACAGGGGGATGGAGGCAGGGGAAGGGGAGAGCGCAGGTGGGCGAGGGGAGGGCAGGAGCCGACAGCTGCCATCAGAGCTGGTTAAAAACCACGGAGGCCTCGAGGTTGGCGGGCTCCACACCCTCGCCGAAGGTGATGAGGAAGTACATGACCTTGCGGATCTTGGCCAGGTCCGACAGGCGCTCCCCAAACTCCAGGGCATCGGCCTCGTTCCAATCCATGGCATCCGAGTCCTCCCTGCGCCAGAAGATGGCAGCGGGGTCCAGCAGCTGGCGCGTCATGAGGTTGGTGAGGTCGGGCGTCCAGTTCTGCGAGGTGCCCGTGATGGTGACCTTGCCCGGCTTGTCCAGCACAACGTTCCAGCGCTCAAACTGCAGCCGCTGCTGCTGGGTGAAGTCCAGGCGGTACACGAACTCTGCTGGCCGCAGCAGCTTCTCCCCATCCTGGCGCTTCTCCCCACGCTGCTTCAGGCTCTCCACACGTAGCCGCATCTGCCTGGTCAGGTCCTGGTCCAGGACCAGCGGCATCTCCAGCGGCAGCTGCTGCGGCCCGTCCTCTGCCATGGCCCAAGTGCTGCTGCCACCAACGCCAAGGACTTAAGTGGGCTGGAGCCTGGGGCCGTGGAGAGAAGAGGCCACCAAAGGGGGACCCCACCTATTCTTCTGTCCTTCCCTCTTCTCCTCCCTTCTTTGCCACTGGCCCTTCCCAGCACCACTCTTTTCTCAAAATGGGGCGTGTGTGAGGGGCAGGAGTCCCAGAAGCGATAATGCAGGCCCTGCAGGCAGGCAGGAAGGTGGCAGGCTCCTTGGGGACCAGGTTGCTGATGTCAATTGCTGTGGCAACCACCCTGACTACCAGGGCCAGGCTGGGCGCTGGCTTGTTTGTGAAGATGGAAATACTTCGTAAGTGCAGGGATGGGGAGGGTGGTACGGAGCACTCCTCACTGGAGGCATACAGGTTGGAGAAGTCAGGACCAGAGAGGGCTCAGCGACTGGAGATCTGAAGTCACCCAAGCCAAACTTTGAAGCCACCCCTGACGCCTGCCTCCCCCTCACTCCTCCACGCCCAATCACCAAAGCCTGTCGATTCTGCTTCCCAAACACCCTGGGAACCTTCCCCTACAGTCCCACTGCCAGGATCACTGCCCGGGTCCACATCCCTCAACCTGACCCGGGGGTCTCAAGATTTCATGAGGATCAGACTCAGCCTCAGGACTTAACACACAGATTGCTGGCCCCCCTCCCAGAACTCCTGGTTTATCGGGGCTCTGTGAGCCTGAGAATCTGCATTCCTAGCCACCTCCCAGGAGACATGTTGTTGGGCCAGGGACTGTGCTTTGCGCATCACTGACCTGGATGACACTGGCTGCTGGCCCTGCCGCAGCCCCACACCACGGCCACCACAGGACCAGGCTGCACTTCTACTCAAGCCCCACCAATTGCCCCATGTGAATTAATCCTGTTTCCCCCAGGAGACTTGGGGCTGAGGAAGAAGCTGGCAAATGTCTATATCTCCAGGGCCCAGGGCGGAACCACGAACTCAGCCATTATATTGGGCAAATGAAAGAACCGGGGTGCGTGAGGAGCTGGAGTGGGGGAGGTGGTGGAGGTGGGAGTTGAGGCGAGGCTGCCGCCACAACACGCCACACATAGGCCAAGGTGTAACAATGGAAAACAATCTGAAGGGTCTAGTGGACCACAAGCCCGGTCAATTGTGAGACAGTGGCTAATCAATCAGTGGGAGCCTGGACTATTTGAACAGCAGAGGGGCACCAAAGGAGACAGAATACCCGTCCTGTTAAAACCACACTGCAAACGCTGGGGTCAGTTCTGGGGGTCACTGGCAGCAATTCTCCCAAGGGTATTTGAAAGAACCATACAGCTAGATAACAAACTGCCTGATCCTCACAGAACCTTTTGCTTTGTAGCTGGAGGGGCAGGGGAGAGAGGAACGACTTGGCTAAGGAGCTACCCTGGGAGGCTTCCCTTTCCTCTGCATGGGAGAGCCGTGTCTATGTTCCCAGCATCACACTCTGCTTTTTATTTGAGCAGTTGCTTAGTTTTTGCCTGTGACGCACATGCCCTGAGTGGGCAGGAAGTGTGTCGGGGCCTGCCACACAGAAGGCCCTCAGAAATGCTGAATGAATGAATGAATGAATGACACTGACAAGGGACAGATGATGTGATGGACCATGGCCAAGGCCAATGCCAAAGGAGGGTGGACAGGTGGAGAGACAGCACACAGGTACTGGCCAGGGCCAAAATGAGGAGTAGGGGCAGGTGTGCATCAGGGTTGGGAGTGAGGAAGATGCCTGGAAGGGGAGGTCAGAGAGGCTGAGCCTTTGGCTGAAGACCTCCAGGGAGAGAAGTCCGGGGCCCAGGCTGTGGCCGTGGCAGGCTAGCAACATCCTTTTTTGTTGTTGGATTGGAAAAAAGTAGAAAAAAGACTAGAAGGAAGCACAGAAAACCCTTAACACTGGTTGTATCTGAGGAATGAAAACCTTAAGTAAGAGACTGCACAGCCTTGTACTTTTTCAAGCCTTCCATCCCTAGTACCCACTATGGCTCTCAGGGCGTAGCTGGTGCTCCATCCACGTGCACTGAAGGCAGGAACTGCTCATATAACCGGGGAAGGGACAGAGTGGAAGGCACTTTTAAATGCCCCCACGGGCCCCTCCCAGGCCTCACCTAGGGTTGCTCTCCCCCAGCACTCCCTCCTAGAGACACCAAGCGTGCGACTGGGACTCTGGTCGCTTCCCTGCTTTTTTTTGGCCAGGAGCCTGTCTGCCTCCTCCTGGGCCCAGGCCTGGCCCTATGACTCACAGCAGGCATCAGGTCTGCCCATGTGCCCAGGGCTGCCGCAGGCTCCAGAGAGGTGACCTCACAGCAGACCCTGGCTTAGGCCGGGCCAGGCCCAATGGCAAATGTTCAATCAAACTGTCACATCCTGATTTCAGGTTCCTAAAACTGGTCACCTGAAGTCCACTGCCCTGCCCTCGGGGAATGTACCATTGAGTCCGGAGGCTGAAATGCCCGCATCAGGGACCCCATTGGAGCAGGACATGAGGCCAGAAGATGTCTGGCAGAACAGAGAAACAGGTGGGGTGCCTAAGACGGGGCTGGGGAGGGAATTGAACAAGCGCAGAGAGTGCGAAATGCAAGAGCTTGCCTTCCTCTGGCCCCTTTAGTTCTCTCGACTCTGGGCGCTTGGAAAGGTCAGTTTACACTGAGGACAAGAGCGGGAAGGTGAGCTGACCGAGGTCACAAAGCTAGCAGGGGACCCGGCCGGATTCAAATCCAGGTCAGGCTGGCTTCGAATCTTGTGAAGGGTAAGGGTGGCTTCCTGGAGGGGGCATGTGTGTTGCGGGCGTATGTGTCGAGGGTGTGACGCTCAGTGTGTCTGAGGCTCAGAATCCCCACGTGTGAGGTGGGGTGGGGGGCAGGGGTACAGCTCAGGCTGGGCAGCCCCTGCACTGCCCTGCCATGGAGAAAACAGGGAGGCTCTGCAGGGCAACAGGCCCAGAAAGTGAGGGGTGACAACAAACAGAGCCCAGTCAGCAGGGACGAGGGAGGGAAGGTGCAGTAATGAGCTCCCCAGGGCCCCCAAGTCTCCTTCCGGGACCCATGGGCTAGCACCACAGCAGCACCGGAGGCAGAGTGCAATTAGCCAGGAGCACCCAGACCCACCCCAGCCTCCCCAGGACCCAAGCTGCTGTAGGAGATCAGCCTCCTGGCCCTAGCAGCCTCCCAGACCAGCCAGGCCGGGTGTCCCAACTCCCTGCAACAGGAACCTTTAGCTCACAGATAAACACAGGCCTCAATGGTAGGCCTCCTGCCTGCAGTCCTGGGCCCTTTCTTCCTCTAGTTCGAGGTGGAGCTGTACCAGGAAACACCTGGGGCCAAGCCCAGGACAGGACACACAGCCTCCCACCAACAAACAGCCCCAGGAGAGGACCCGGTGCACCAGCCCCAGCGCCAGGAGGCCCTGGGAGGTCTGGGCAGCAAGGCCGACGTGGAGCTGCTAGGTGGCAGGTGAGTCCAGCAATCTGGAAAGGAGCTCTGTTCCCAAATCTCTCCCGAGCCTTCTCTACTCCAGGTCTTAGGGGCTCAGCAGGGACATATGCGCTGGGCCAGTTCTGCCTATGGGGAGCTCACCTCACTGGGAGAGGTGACAGATAAACAGGCAATTACAGGGTAAGGCAGGAGGTGGGGGCAGCCCCACAGGATCCCCATGTGCCCCTTCAGCCCCTGGCTGAGTCCTCATCTAGCACAGGGTGGGTGGCCTCTAAGGCAGGGGACCTGGTTCTGGGCTCAGAGAAGCAGGTGGGAGCCTCAAAGCTGGAGACTGAGGCCCAGCCCTACACCCAGAGCACAGAGCCAGGCTCTCTCTAGGCCTTGAGGCGCAGGAGTGAAATGAGCTCATGGGTGGCTCTTGGAAGCCCTCCTGGCTCAGATGCTCCACGAACACCCACATCCATGTGCTGCAACTGTGGCCCCTGCCAAGGCCCCAGGGCCAGCTGCTCCTACCCCAAAGGACCACTGGAGCCAGGCCCCAGGGATGCCCACCCTGGAGTGGCTTTGAGAGGTCACACCCTGTTCAGCAGACTCAAGAGCAAGACACCTACCAGAGTCTCAGCCTGCCCAAGGGCACCGCTCCCTCTGATGGCCAAGGGGATGAGGAGAAACTGTCTTGCACAGGAGCACCCATATGTCCTATGATGTTAATCATCGTAACGCTGGTAGACACAGCCACCGTTAGCCGAGCACCACGCCGCACAAGGCACGCTGAGTGCAGCATCTAGTCCCACCCTCACCACTCCCGGAGAGACAGCTAGTCCGCCTGTCCTGATTTTGCCGATGAGTAACCTGAGGCCAGCGCCAAAGCTACCAAGTGGTGAGGCTCACGGCCAAGCCTGAGAGATGCAGATGTCCAGTGCTCCTCAGCCCCACTGCCAGCCCCTCCCAAGGGATGGCAGAAGGGCAGGGATGAGCAAGCAGCAATGACCAGAGTCCCCCTGCAATCCCTACCAATAATTCTGCAGGGAGCCAGGGTCTGCCTCCACTCCAGCCTCCCCGCCTCCTGTGCACTGAATCTAAGACCCCGCTGCCTAGTGTGGGGATAGGAGGTCGGGTTACAGGAACAGAGCCCATTCTTTCCTACCCAAACCCTTGGGCCCTGGTTCAGAACACTGGCAGCTTGGAACTGGGAGTCGTGACACTAGGGATCGCCAACCCACCGTTGCTGAACAACTGGGAAAAGTCAGGCCCAGAGGAGGACAGCGAACAGCCAAGTCCCACAGCAGGTCTGTGTCTGTCACGGTCTCCTGAGCCCCGTCAGTGGTGTCTGCACGCTAAATGTGATGCACACAGCTTCCACATTTCACAGGTATGTATTCATCTGCCAAGTGTCCACAACGGTGGGAAGGGGACACATCAGAACGAGCTGGGGAGCCACACCGATTCCCAGCGCCTGCCCCTGGGGTCCCCAGCTGGAGGGGGAGGGAAGGCAATTCTGACGCTCAGCCAGTACTGGGGGCCCCTCACCCCATGCCTGGCACAGGCTTTCGAAAGTCTTTTGCCATGTCCCGCTTCCGCCTGTCTGGCAGTGAGGGCCTCCGGGCTTCGTTCACACTCCCCAGCACCCGGCCCCACCCTGCCCCAGGCCTCACCTTTTGCCACAGGGACTCCCGGGAGGCAAGTGACGAGCAGGCTGCCACAAACCAGCAGTTGCCAACCTGGCCCTGGTGCAGGTCATGGGAGCTGATGCCATCCACAAAGAGGCGGGGGTCCTCGCAGATGTCCTACGGAGAAGGCGAGGGGAGAGCATAAGGGGCAGAGGAGCACGTGGATACCCCCCACGGCAGTGGAGATTCACCTGCCTCCCACCACAGCCTTGGGGCCCCATGCAGCCCATCTGCTCCCCACCCCAACTGCTCTTGCCTGGGATGCCCTCCACCCTTTCTGGCCAAAGAGCGCTCTTCTGCTAAATGTATGCTGATGACGAACCTGTGGGAGGAGGTCGGGGTGCCGGAACTGGGGCACTCCCTTCTTCCTGGCCACTGAGCCCCTCCCTGACCAGCAAGAGCTCCATTTCCTTCCTTCCCCAGAACCAGCAGCCTGAGTGCCCACCCCCACCAGCCCGCAGGGGTCCAGTTCGATCAAGTGGGGTGGCGTTTTGGGCATGGGACAAACACCCAAATCACATGTGGGGAGCACAAAGTGAGGGGTCAGTGGGGAGCGGTGGGCCAGGCCCCGAACAGCACCTCCTTCACACAGTCTCATCTGATCTGCCCACCCAAGGAGCGAGGAGTTACCATTGCATTGTATGGGCGAGGAATGGAGGTTCAGAGAGGGACTGTGACTTGTCAAAGGCACACACAGCAAGCAAATGCTCAAGTGGAGCAAAAACTCCTTTTTTCTTTCTTTTTCTTTTTCTTTTTTTTTTTTTTTTGAGACAGTCTCATTCTCACCCAGGCTGGAGTGCAGTGGCGCAATCCCAGCTCACTGCAACCTCCACCTCCTGGGTTCAGACAATTCTCCTGCCTCAGCCCCCAAATAGGTGGGATTACAGGCGTGTACCACCACACCCAGCTAATTTTTATATTTTTAGTAGAGATGGGGTTTCACCATGTTGGCCACGCTGGTCTCGAACTCCTGACCTCAGAGGATCTGCCTGTCTTGGCCTCCCAAAGTGCTAGAATTACAGGCATGAGCCACCGTACCCAGCCTCCATTTTTATTTTCTATGGAGACTGGAGGGCATGACCCAAGGGGCTGCTCCATGAGACACAGCCAGGGAATCCAGCCAGGGCAGCTGCTGGGCGGGGAATGATCCGTAAGCAGCTGGCCGCTCTCAGACCCAGCCCACCCTAATTTCTGGAAGCCCCTTGCTCTGTCTGCCAAGAGAGGCAGCCCAGGAGGGCTCCAGGACCAGCTGCCCTCTGCACCGATGCTGCCCAAGGAGCTGTGCTGGGCTTTCCGCCTCGCCCTGCAGTGGGAGTGTCTTCCTTCAAAGCCCCTGAGACAGTGCTGTGAACGGGAAATGCACAGGCTTTGGCTTCAGACCGGAAACCGAATTCCAGCTCTTTGCTCTGGCGAGCTCTCCGGGTCTCAGCTTTCCAATTTACAAAGTAGGAACAATGATTTCTTTATGTTGTTGGATTTGGGGTTTTGTTTTTTTGGTTTTTTGTTTGAGACAAGGTCTGGTTGTTGTCACTCAAGCTGGAGTACAGTGGCACAATCATAGCTCACTGCAGCCTCAAGCTCCTAGGCTCAAGTGATCCTCTGGCCTAAGCCTCGAAAATAGCTGGGACTATATAGGCCAGCACCACTCCATTCAGCTAATTTTTAAATTTCTTGTAGAGATGAGGTCACTATGTTGCCCAGGCTGGTCCCAAACTCCTGGTCTCAAGCAATCTTCCCACCTTAGCCTCCCAAACTGCTAGGATTACAGGCAGGAGCCAATGTGTGTAGCCAATAATTTTGACTTTGCAAGGAGGAACGAGAGTTGTAAAGTGCCAGCCCAGGACCTGACCCAAAGCGAATGAAGGTCTGTTCCAATTTTCAGCTGCTGGGAAGCTATGCCCAGACCTCTATGGGTGGCTCCAGCACCAAGAGACGCACCCAGGAAGGGTCAGCTCACCCTGTGTTCCTGCAGCTGTGAGCATCCCACCCCCAGGCCTGATCCCCAGCCCTGGCCCCTCCTCCTCTTCCATCTCCTCACTGAGCTGAGAGGAAACAACTCCTCCCCAGGGGGTCATGGGTATGGCGGAGGGTGGGGACAGGCAAACACTGAGACACGCTTTTCATGTACCAAGCACCCTGCTGGGACCACAATCCATCCTCACCATGGCACTGAGAGGTGGGCAATATCCCTTTTCGCAGTTGAGGGGAAGTTGAATACCATGCCCGGGCCACACAGCACTGGTAGGTGGCAGCAGCCCTCTGCCAGCCTCCACTCCAGCAGGCACTGCTGAGCTAGTTCCAGCCCAAGAGCTACTGCAGTCCTACCACAGGCGGCCAGCAGGGGGTGGCAGGGGCAGGAAGACAGAATTCGAATGCCTGCTCCCTATGTGCTGGCTGTGCAACTTCGGGCCTCACCTGTGCGGAGGAGATCATAGAAACAGCTCCTGCTGTATGGCAGGGCTGTGCAGGGAATCTCCAGATCATGGGCTGGAGCAGGTGGCAGGTGAAAATGGGGCAGAAGGCCCCTAGTTCACCAAGGTGGGACCCTACTGCCCCCTCTGCCCAGGAGAACTGGAGTTTTAGAGGGGCAGAGAAAGGGCTAGAACTCCCCTGAGGGCATGAGCAGTTCCTGAGACCCGGCCTTCTTTCCAGTTGGCACCACAGGGTGCCCCAGGGCCAACCTGCATGATGGCTTCTGCAGAGCACAGGCCTAGGAAGCCCAGTGAGGTGGCCTGCTCTCATCCATCCCCAAAGGCACCCCCTCAGGAAGCACAGGCAGGAAGAAGGGACTTGCCTCCCCACCCACTGGCCTCCTATCTTACCTCCCAGCCCTGGCCCACACCCCACACCCAGTCTATCCTCTGAGCCAGAGGGAGTTATGACTCAGCATCTGCTTCCCTGAGGCCAGTAGGGCAGGCAGATCAGGGAAGGGAGAGGGGCTTCCATCTACCTCATACCACGGGAAGAGAAACAGCTACCACCTGGCATCACCAGGGTCTAGAGCAAGAAGTGACTCAGGTGTCCCTCCACTTTGGATCCTCCCAGCCAGTGTCCTAAGACAGACACATGACTGCCCCATCCCACAGAGGAGGAGGCTGAGCCCAGGACAGGGCAGTGAGGTGCAAGGCAATTAGGTAAGTAAGTGGACCGATCTGAGAGGACGCCCCAGGTCTGCCGGGCTCCAGAACGGGGTCTCCCCACACTGAGCACCACAGCTAGGGCAGACTCAAGGGGCGGATTTAACCAGATCTGGGCCCCAGAACAGGGCTCTGGCCCCAGCCTCTTCTCCAGTCCTCGAGAGACAGACCGAGCTCAGGAGTCACGATTCCCAGATTCCATCGCCCTGACTTGCTGTGGCAGACCAGGGACCTGGGGGCAATCGTGCAGCCTAGGAGGGAACAGACAGAGCAGAAGGCAGCAGGCATGTTCCCATTGCCAGGAGAGGTCAGGGTCACCAGCTCTAACCAAGAGAAGCCACCTGAGGTTGGTGGCACCTGGAGTCTGCTCTGGAATCCAGGCGCCACCTTGGGGCACCTGGAAAGGAACAATAATAGAAATAGCTCACAATAACTGGGCACCTGCTCTGTGGCAGGCCCTGTGCAAAACAATCCTGTGAGATAGGCACTGTTGGTGCCCCCTTCTTATAGACGAGGAAACCAAGGCACAGCAAGGTTAAGTCACTTGCCCAGGGCTACACAAGAAGAGGTGAACTGAAATTCAAATTCAGGCAGTCTGGCTACAGTCTCCAGGTGGGCTTGGTTTTATGGGTAACAAAGTCACCCTTCCTTCAGCTGTCTCCCTGCACCTGTCCTAACCCAGCTTACGGGGTGTCTCACTAGACAGCAATGAGACTAAGGGGTCAGGAAAGCCCAGGCCCTCACCCCTGCCACCGTAGGGCCAGGCTTCTCAAGCCCAGTGTTTGTCCTTCCACTTTTCCTGGGCCACTGGCTGGACATAGGTCATAGAGTGAGTCAGAGAAGGTCTCTGCCCACTGGCAGGACCCTTGAGAAGCAGCCAGGCCCTGATCCTCCATGTGAGCAGAGCTGTGACAGCAGGAGCCAGAGAGAAATCAGAGGAGGCTGCCTGGAGGCAGTGATGCTGGCAGAGCAGGCATGGAGAGTGCTGATAGGCAGGGAGGTTGAGGAGGGAAATGGGGACTCAAAGTGTCCTGAGGCAGACGCTGCCTCTGAAACAGTCCTCAGGTGCCCAGCCACCTGTGCTCCCTTCAATCCCTGTCCATACTCGCTGGGTTTCCTTACGGTCCCCACCACCAGCCTTCGAGCTCCCAGGCAGGGCCCAGGCCTGACTTTGCCCACATCCAGGCTTAGCAAAGCCTGGCAGGTTCCACTAGGGCTGCGGACAAGTCCCTGGGAGGGAGGGAGGGAGGGAGGGAGGACAAAGTGACCTACAGTTTTGGGCTGTACAGGAGTTGCCCCTGAGGGCTGGGGGTTGACCGCTCCTCGGGTCAACACCGCTCCAGGACAGCCTTCTGCACCTGCAGTCACCGCTCCCCTGCTCAGCACCTCCCAGCCTGTTAGACCAGCTCCACCTGACAGGCCACAGCCCAGTCCTCCTCCCGCCTCCCTCCTCCCGCCTCCCTCCTCCCTCATGGCACAACAAGAAATTCCGGTTTCTAGTCCTGGTGTACAAACGGGAATACGGCAAAGCAGTGGACTGGATCCACGCATCCTGGCTGTACCTGCAGAGGCCCCCTCCACCTCTTCACCCCAGTCACCCCGCTTCTGGAATCTAGAATCACGGAAGGAATCAACCAGAGAGCAGGAATGAGCCCCATCTCTGAGCACATGCCCAGAAGGGGGTCATTCCTGGGCAGGACAGCTGGGTGTACCACTGCTGCCAGGCTTTGCTGTAAACTGCCTGTTCCGTGGTATGGGAAGGCCTTATGTTCAGGGATTGAGGGTAGAGCCATCTCCAGGAAATGGCTTGATGGGCAAGAGTCCCAGGGGCTGGGTTGGGGCAAGGGTCCCCGAGGCTGCTCCAGGGAATTCCGGAGGTTCACTGGAACCTCCCTGTCCCCTCTGCGTTCCATCAAAGGACCTCCAGGCTCATCCCCAGGTGTGGGAGAGATAGTGCTCTGGATGAGGGGCTGCTGCCACCACAGGGGTGACAGGAGGCCGCCTACCAGGGCCCTGGGCCTGAGTGAGGAGGAAGGACATCCCGAGCTCCCCATTCTCCACGCATCTTCCCAGCCAGGCCTGTGAGGGGCCGGAAAATGGCCCCTGTACTGGAAAGATCAAAAACACCGCGAACCTGCAGGCAAAGGGTGTGGGCTGAGGCAGGCGCCCAGGGAGGGACCAAAGGGGACAAGACCTGGTCCCACCTGCAGAGTCAGTAGGAGATGGGACGTCCCAACCAGAGTGGCTCTGGGTCCCCAGCACAGGGTTGCCAAGGAGAAGACGGGCGAGCGAGGGGACCTGTCTGTCACCTGCCTCGCATGTATATGACACCACAGATACCTCAAGTCTTTTCCGTTTCCTGAAAGCCAGCAAGAATTATCCTTCCCCAGTTGCAGATGAGGAGACTAAGGTGCAAGTAGGCGGGACTTGTTCAAGGTCACACTTCTAGTAAGGGAGGGCCAAGGCTCAGAAACCAGCCTCTGCATTCCATTTGAGAGGCAGGGAGGCTGGGACGTGGCTGAGGAGATCCTCCTAAAACAGAGCAGCCTTGATAAGGACCAACTCGGAGAAGGAGCTGGAAGGGAGGAACGGGCTGCAGCAGGGCTTCCCATTCGTAAACAGGCGGTCACAGATGAGACTCCACGAAACAAAGCTGCCTGAGGCCAAAGTCCACTCTCACTGGCAAGCGGCTGGGCTGGGCCTGCCCCACCACTGAGCCAAGCCTGCCTGACTTCCTGCTCCACACACCTCCCATCCTGTTGGTGGGGCAGAGGCTGCGTGTCCCGCAGGCCCGTCACCAGCCAGCAGGCAGTGCCCACACACACGGCATAGGAAACTCAGGCAATGCCGTGCGCCATCTACCCCAGCCTGGCCTGAGCCCCCACAGCTGCTGCCCCTTGGGCCCCACTCACACAGCTGTCTCAACACAGGCCACCACACGCTCTCTGTCACCTGTCCCCACATCTGGGTCAGGGCAGCTCTGCGTGTCTAGAAAGGGCAGGGCACCAAGTGTGCCGGCGAGGAAGGCCACGAGGGAAGGAGGTGTGTGTGGCAGGGCTCCTGAACCCGCAAGGAAAGGGGCTCAGAAAGGGCAGGTGACTCCCCTGGGTCACACAGCAGGAGAGGACTAAGCAGCCCAGCCTGGCATTCCCTCCTCTCACCGCAGCAAGCCCAGCCTGCCCCTGCCAGGCCTCACCAGCCTCTTTCCAGAGCCATGGACCTAAAATGTCTGGGCAATGGCCAGAGGACAGGAGGGAGTCAGGACGGGGGGCAGCCAGGGGATGGAGTGGGAGGAGGGCGGGGAGATGGAGTGCCCACCCCTCCTCCCCACAGCCAAGGCCTCACAAAGGCCCTTTGAGGCTGGCTCCCTCCCCACCTAGTTGACAAAGGAAGAGAGGAAGGCGTGGGAGAAGGAGCCCAAGAGGCAGAACTCTTGTGTCCAGGCCAGGAGGCTCCTGGGCCTTCCAGAGAGTCAGTGAGGGCCAGAGATTCTGTTGCAGCTCTTGGGACTGAGGTCAAGGGCATCAAGGGCCCTTTATCTCGTGCCAGGAAGGTGGGGCCCAGGGAGGCAGGACTCCTGGGTCCTCAACTACCCCTGCTAGTAGCTTACGGGCAATCCAGGACACACCCCTTCCTCTCTTGGAAGTCCCAGTCCAAGAACATCTACAGAGATTTTTCAGTCCGAAGAAACTTGAGATCACAACCTGGGAGAGGCACTAGACAACTGCATCGCATTTTCCCAAAAAGCACACGGATCAGAGGGAACTCTGGAAAATGCAACTCTGACCCCATCGCAGGCTGCTGAAAGCCTTGCCTTCGGGGTCCTCACAGCACACACAGCGAGGCTGAGCACCTTGGCCCCAGACCCGCGATCCCAGGCAAGGGCCTCCACAGGCCCACATGAGCCCGAGGGGCTCCAACCTGTGCGTTTCTGTTCCCTCTGCCTTTTTCCACCCGGCCCTTCGGGCAAAAGCCTCATCAGCCTTCACCTCCAAGATGTGGCCGCCTCTGATTACCGGGCTGCGGGAGTCACAGCCTCTTCCCGGCCCCGAGCATTCTTGGGATAGCACGATCTCCTGCACTGAAGTCCCCTGGGGGATGACCCTCACAGCATCACCAGCGCAGCCCGGGAGGCCAGGGAGGGGCCTGGGCAGTGACCTCCCTTCACCCAGGCCACCAGGGACCCTACTCTGCAGGACCCACAGACAAGCAGCGGAACCCACCCTCACAGCCAGGAATCGGGGTTCAAGGCGATGAAAGCACACCACGAGGCCAAACGTTTCTGTATAACATACTCCAGCCTCAGGGACCAAGAGCTGCGGCCGGAGAGCTGCAACCTGGTCATTATCAGCACCCATGGTCAGAGCTCCCGAACTGGCGGCCAGGCTGCGTGCGGAACTTTGCATGCACTACACTTCTTTCAATTCTCACAACCACCCTATGAGGTAGGTACTGTTTGTTTGTTTGTTTGTTTGTTTAACTATTACTGATTAATCATCATAATGATTACTTCTCGTTTCTACCGCAAACGACTATTTCAAAATCATTCTGAGAACAAGCAGGAAAGTCAAGTCCTTGCATGTGGATATCGGTCTACATTTTACTACAAAAGGCCATATCCGTATCACCCCATTTTTATTCCAAAAATGACCCTCAGTGGGGCTGAGGTTACTGCCCCGCTTTTCCTTTGAGGAAGTTGAGGCCCAGCGAAGGGTGAAGGCCTGGCTGGGCCTCAACCAATCCAGTAACGGCCACAGGATTACGGCCCATCCTCCGAGCTCCCCATCCAGAGCAAATCCCACAGTCTCGGCACCCTCACTTTCTTAGCAGCCTGGGGCTGGGGATGCCTCTTCTCACCACCCGCCACGTCCCTGCAGACCCACGTCCCTGCAGACCCAGGTGGGCCTGGGCCTGCTCCCCCAGCTGGGACAAGACACTGACCTTGGGCCGCTTCCACCTGACAGTGGGCCCTGGCGTGCCCTTATAATAGAGCGAGTCATCAGTGGCTGGGAAGAGGGGGTCCTCGAAGAGCACCTTCCTACGCAGGCAGTCCCGCCTCAGGGCCGAGTAGCTCTGGTCCTCATAGGGCTTCACGCAGGAGAACATGGTGGCCCCTGCCCCAGGGGAGGGAGGAGGAACACCTGGACAGGAAGGCAAGAAGACTGTCACTCACGGAGTCCCCGCGTCCCGGCTGTACACCGGCTCCATGCGCTTACTCCCCCGCAGCCCCATCCCACAGGCAAGGAAGGCTCAGAGAGGCCAGGAGCCTACCCAAGGTCACACAGCTGGTAGGCAGCAGACTGGGACAGGCGCCGACCGGCCTGACTCCACAGCCTGGATTCTCGTGTTTCTGAAGCTCAGAGGTGATACCAGGCCCGAAGGCCACACAGAGCTCAGGCCGGGCCCTGGCTGGGCCCACCTCCTCGCCTCCCTTTGTCTGAGCGGCCTTCCACACACCTCCTCAGACAGTTGGACCAGTGGCCAGCCCTGGCAGCTCCCTGGCTGGTGTACCTCCCACAGGAAAGCAGGGTGTGCCTCCGGGTTTCCCTCCCCACCTCTGGAGCGTGACACCTTTCTGCCCGTCTTGGGAAAACCTTGCCCCAGGCACCCCTCTTGCCATCATTCATTCATTCCCTCCAGCCATCCCACACCATGCTGCCTTTCTCACAGCGCCTCGGGAATAGATGTCTCCATTTCTGTAGGGAGCAGGCCCATGGCTCCTTAGCCCACCCTCCATTCCCCAGGGGCCCAGGTGCACCCAGCCAAGCATCCTGAACTTTGCATCAAGGTGCTTACCAAGTACGAGGACACAGACCGGACCAACGTGGTCAGGAAGATCTCCGGGCAAGGAACTGCGGCTGGTGGGGCCTGCACATCAGGCGTAGTGACAGATGCTCAGATGCCAAGCACCTGAGTGACCACCCCAATTCTGACCCCCCTCCCATCCATCCAGGCTGCAGTGCCGCCCCACAGCCCCTGATCTACTCTTCCTCGGGCCTGCGCAGGGTAATGGTGCAATCCTTTTGAAGTAAAGACCACAATTTCCGGAGAAGAGATCCAAGCTGGCTGATCACTAGCAGCTCGGGATTGTAGCTCCCAGTGAAAGCGCAAAGAACGAGAGGACGCCACACCTTCACATGAATTCTTGTTGCTCACGCACCAGGAGATTCCCAGCGGAGGAGCCCCACGGGTCGCCAGCGCGACTCTTGTGACCGGCGAGGCGGTTATGCCGGCGCCTTGGAGCATCGGTTCTTGGTGTAGAGTCAGAAAAGCACCATCAATCTTAACGCCACTGATTTGGTCGGCGCAGTGGGTTGCTCAGATTTCGGCGCTGAGAATCAATAAGTTGGACGTCCACTCAGAAACCCAATTACAAAGACGGTAAATGCAAAGACCACAGATGGATAAATTTATAACGAAGGGAAGAAAACAGCCAAAAAAGGCTGAGAATACCCGAGATCAGAACGCCTCTCCCTCAGCAGGGGATCACAGTTCCTCATCAGCAACGGAACAAGGCTTGATGGAGAACGAGTGTGTTCCAATTACAGGAGCAGGCTTCAAAATGTGGATAATGAGAAACTTCTGTGAATTAAAAGAACTTGTTCTAACTCAATCTAAAGAAACAAAAACTAAAAAAAAGTTTGGCCGGGCGCGGTGGCTCAAGCCTGTAATTCCAGCACTTTGGGAGGCTGAGGCGGGTGGATCACGAGGTCAAGAGATCAAGACCATCCTGGTCAACATGGTGAAACCCCGTCTCTACTAAAAATACAAAAAAATTAGCTGGGCATGGTGGCACGTGCCTGTAATCCCAGCTACTCAGGAGGCTGAGGCAGGAGAATTGCCTGAACCCAGGAGGCGGAGGCTGCGGTGAGCCGAGATCGCGCCATGGCACTCCAGCCTGGGTAACAAGAGCGAAACTCCGTCTCAAAAAAAAAAAAAAAAAGTTTGACAAAATGTTAACAAGAATACACAATTTAGAGAGGAATATAAGTGAATTGATGGAGCTGAAAAACACAATACGAGAACTACCTGAAGTATGCACGAGTTTTAACAGCCGAATTGATCAAGCAGAAGAAAGGATATCAGAGGTCAAAGACCAACTCAATGAAATAAAACAAGAAGACAAGATTAGAGGAAAAAGGATAAAAACGAATGAGCAAAGTCTCCAAGAAATATGGGACTATGTGAAAAGACCTAATCTACGCTTGATAGGTGTACCTGAATGTGACGAAGAGAATGAATCCAGGCTGGAAAATACGCTTCAGGATATTATTCAGGAAAATTTTCCCAACCTAGTAAGGAAGGATAATATTCAACTCCAGGTAATACAAAGAACACCACAAAGATAATCCTCAAGAAGAGCAACTCCAAGGCACATCATCGTCAGATTCACCAGGGTTGAAATAAAGGAGAAAATACTAAGGGCAGCCAGAGAGAAAGGTCAGGTTACCCACAAAGGGAAGCCTATTAGACTTACAGCAGATCTCTCAGCAGAAACCCTACGAGCCAGAAGAGAGTGGGGGCCAATATTCAACATCCTTAAAGAAAAGAACTTTCAACCAAGAATTTCACATCCAGCCAAACTAAGCTTCATAAGTGAAGGAAAAATAAAGTTTTTTTCTGAATAAACAAGCACTCAGAGATTTCATCACCACCAGACCTGCTTTACAAGAGCTTCTGAACGAACCACTGCACATAGAAAGGAACAAACAGTATCAGCCGTTCTAAAAAATACTAAAAAGAGCATCAATAAAATGAAGAATTTACATCAACTAATGGGCAAAATAGCCAGCTAATATTAAATGGCAGTATTAAACTTACATATGTCATTATTAATTCTAAATTTAAATCGACTAAATCCCCCAATCCATAAACAGATGGCCAATTTGAATAAAAAACTAAAACCCATCAGTATGCTGCATCCAGACCCATCTCACATTTAAGGATACACAAAGACTCAAAACAAGGGATGGAGAAAGATTTACCAACCAAACAGAGAGCTAAAATAAATAAATAAAAAGCAGAGTTACAATTTTTGCCTCTGATAAAATAGTCGTTAAAGCAACAAAGATCAAAAGAAGCAAAGAAGGACATGATATAATGATAAAAGGATCAATGCAACAACAAGAAGAGCTAAAGATCCTAAATATATGCGCACCCAATACAGGAATACCCAGACATACAAGACTAATAAAGAGACTTAGACTCCCACACAATAATAGTGGGAGACTTCAACATTATATTAGACAGATCAATGAGACAGAAAATTAACAACGATATCCAGGACTTGAACTCAGATCTGGAACAAGTAAACGTAATTAACATTTATAGAACTCTCCACTTTAAATACACAAAATATACACTCTTATCAGTACCACATCATATCAACTTAGAAGTTTAAACGAAATGTTGGTTGGCTCCTTGTTTGTTATTCTAAAAAAAAAAAAAAAAAAAAAAAAAAAAAAACACACACACACACACACACAATTTCCAGCACAGCCCTGAGGGAAACCGAGGCAAGGTAGGCTGGCTGTGAGAGTGACATCTGAGAGCAGTGCCAGCCCCAGCAGCACCACCTGCCTGCTGGGTGACGTTGAACAGACCACGTGAACTCTCTGAGCCCATTTTCTCTTCTCAGTAATGGGACTTATGCAGGGCTGCTGTGCCCCTGGAAGGAGCCAACCCATTAACTGAAGGCTGAGGAGCCTGCTGAGCGGGCCAGCGGGAAGAGGGGTGAGGGAGAAGGGGCCAAGACACTCCTCAGTCCCAAGAGATGCCCCATTTCCTGGGCCAGAGGTGCATGTGTACTTACTGCCTGTCAACAGTGCCAGTGGGCACATGGCTGCCAGCTTTCACAAAATGCAACTGCGGCTCAGTGGCCGTGTGACCCTGCTGCTCATTCAAGGAGCTGGGGCCTCACATGGAGGGAAGAAGAGAAAGGAGACACAGGAAGGGAAGGAGGTGAGCGCGGACAGTGAGCATGGGCACAACGGGACAGCAGAGACGGCAAGGGGGCCATCGTCCCTGCCTTTCAAGGGAGCTGAAGGCAGCTGTCCCCTGCTCTGCACCCGAAGCCACTTCACCTTCTGCCCCCATATCCGTACTGAGCCTGCTGGCGAGGGCTGCTGTGTGACCTCAGGCCAACCACTTAACTTCTCTGGCTGCCCCTCTGCCCAGGGAGACCAGCAGCCCTGCCCCCTCCCACCCATTCCCCCTGCCTTGGAGGCCTGAGGGAGAGAGGGGAGGAGCCCACAGAGCCAGCTCCAAGAGCATCCAAGAGCATCATCAGCACCAGGGGAAGGGTTTCCAGCAGGGTCAGCTCAGGAAGCAATTTAAGCTACAGGAATTAGATCAGAGAAGCTGAAAGCAGGAGCCTGGAAATCAACTCTTGCAATTCCAGCATTTCCGAGTGTAGAGGGCCCAGAGAGGGGCTCGAATTGGCTCAGGTTGCACAGCCAGGCTGGTAGAGAAAGAGGGTCTGGCTGCTCTCCCGGCCAAGAAGGGGCCGATGCTGCTGGGAGGGTCCACTCCTGGAGGCCACGAAGGGAGAGCCTGTCTAGGCCAGGGGCTGCACAGGGCCAGGCTCGGCTGGCTGAGGGTCTGATACCCACGTGCCATCCCTCCAGCCTCACCCGCCTGCCAGGCTGACCTTGGCCTACTTATAGGAGGTTTTCTGGCCCCAGCCCTTGCGCAGACTGCCCCTCCGCACCCTCCATCTGCCCCAAGGTCACCTCCCACTGTATCTACGGGGCCAACACCCCCACAGGGTCAGCTCTCCTCTGCTAGCTCCAGGCAGAGCACCGCAGGCCACAGACGGACCAGGAGGCAGGAAAGCCGCTCCGCCTGGGCCTTTTCTTTCTGAACCTGAGCTTAGGGCCGTAGCCCTTCCCGTCTCCCCAGTGTTTTCAGCTGTTTGGGCGCAGCACGACCCCCGGGCGGGGTTCAGGGCCATCCGAGCTTCCCAGCTGCCCCGTGCGCCTGCCCTCTTCCCTTCTGCCATTCTCCACCCTGGTCTGAAGCTCCAGGGCTCGGAGCTGCTCGCAGCTCTCACAGAGCCATTTCCTCAGGGCCTCTGCACACCATCTTCCTCTGCCATCCTGGTGCCCCTGGGATGGCACCCGTTACACTGTACCCCATCTGC